TCAACCATTTGTAGAACCCAAAGGTTTATTTCCACATTAACGAGAGCCTATCACTTGTCTGTCACTGGTCTGAGCCAGTTGAAGACAATCCACTCTCTCCCACTGTATTTCTTCGAGGTCCGTATTAATTATATGTTCCCATTTATGTCTAAGTCCTGCAGGTTTTCTTTTTCTTGTAGATTTTCCGACCGTGGAATGTCTGATTTAAATATTACGTCGTCTGTTTACTTTGATGCCCCGCACTAATAAAATGAAACAAAGGCCCTTCTTGTCTCGCGGAACAAGCGAAATTGACCTGCTCGGTACTGCGGCGAATACCACAGTTGGCAGATTTCCGTTCCGTGGAATACACCTTTCGACGTTTTATCTGTCATATGATAGCCGTGCCGGGAATGGCTTCTCAAGAGCCCGGTACCTACAGCGTATAAATGCAAAATGAGGACGACGAATGAGGTACAAGGACTTCCGTGCAACAAAGGTGGCAGCATTGGTCCCGCACATGTGGTAGCAACCATTATTGTGTGCCCGTACATTTTTAATATCAAGAAGTTTGCTCTCGTAACATTACAGCTATTTCCATGCACAAGGCGCATTCTTTATTTAAGGTTACTTGTTGAAGCCAGAAAGCTACGTTCTTTCATTCTTTATTGTTTGCCATCACAGAATCATCGCCTATGCCCCTTTGTGGTGCGGGGCTACGAGCAGATTCGAGACGGCCATTGTGTGATGGCGCACGGAAGCTTCACTTCAAAATGGACACCCGTTCCACTCATTTTGTATTGGGTTCCGTTTTACGACGCTGTAACAGCTGCTGAAATTTTGTTGCATAGCCCATAAGATTATTGTTGTAGCGTTGCTTTGTTGAAGAAAACTTTAGTCTGGCCAGAAGGGTGAGCTTATTGCTTCAAATGAGATAATTTTTCTCCCCTACAATAACAATATATATTTTGTCTTAATTACGTATGTATTATAATCACTCATTCGTTTGTCAGTTTATAAGATCACTTTTAAATTGTATGGCAGTTTCTTGACTCTTAATATTATAACTGAAGTAAGAATTGGATGCATCTGTAATGCCAATGTCAGAACCTTTAGTACATTCCTATTAAATCACGTATTATCACTGATCAGTGTTCTCCTGACATAACCCTGAGTGTCAGTGTCTCACATTCGTCATTTTGACACTGATTAAGAATTAAGATAACTGCAGGAGAAAGGAAAATATACAATTATAGTAATCGTTCAAATTTATACAAAACAAATACATGATAAAGCTGAGAAAAATGTAAGGAGAAAGTGATAGTATTATACCACACTTTTGATAAATTCGTTTGACTTGCTAACTCTTCGAAAGATTAAAAATAAAAGTTTTACTCTCTTAGTTAAGTTGTACGCCATTCACTGGAACACAGAAGAATCGATCTGATAAAATACATCTTTAATCAGCTTAATCCAGCCCATCACAGGCATTATTAGTTTCCTTGTTCCGGCTTACGTTCGCCGTCTGATTACGTAGGTGCATTTACAAGAGAGACAAAATAGCTAAGGTGTTAGCCAAACCTCGAGTGCTTACACGCTAGTTCCTTGCGTTCTGACGTTTGACGTAACGCGTTGCATCACGTTTCTCGCTATTTTAATTGCGTGACCTTTTAGAAACGCGTGACGTGTTCTAAATTGCGATTATGCATCATGGAAGATAATACGATGCATATACTCAGTTTAAATAAAATGTTTACGACCCCACCACCTGCTTTAGGATTTGCCTAATACTTTGGGGAAAGAGCTATAGTTATTTATTTACTTGTGAAGCCCGTAAACCAAGAAGGCCTACGCAGACAATAGTGGTGATCCCTCTGGAAGCACCCGTTACGTTTACTGCAGATCATAGGCGCAACTGGTACACTCTGTGTAACAAAAATCGGGCGTCTGGAATTTTTCAAGTCCCAACTTGGAAGTGAGTATTGTCTGAGTGTGGTTTTTCTGTACCTTCCGTTAACTACAGTGATTTTTGCCCGATGTCTTTAAGCATTATATAATGTCTAATTCGAAGAAAAAACGTGAATTGCTGCAGAACAGTAGTCATATTCGTGGCGGTGAGCTGAACGTTGCAAGGTGGAGATAGTTCGAGCCGTGTTATTGTTGGTGCCCAGTTCTGTACGTGATTCTTGTACATTTTGATTTATTTAACGACGCTGTCAACTGTCGTGGCATAATTTAATGGATTATCTCCGCATTTATCAGAAGGAAATGAGATTAATCACGAAGTACTTCAGTTCGGTTAATCTTCGTGTCGGAAGTTGCAAATTGCGAGGCAGGAGATTTGTTCATTGGCATGAATTGTAAAAAGTGAACGCATAATTCTGGCTTCAAGACTGTCTTCATGAACCACATAAATTATTTAATGAATGTCGTGTAAGTTTTGTGTTTTTGTTAAAAGCATAAGCCGTTAAGTGAATTCGGTTTTGGGCCCGGTCAGTTTGATGTAATTCCTCTTTAAGTCTGGAAATGAACTTTTTGTTTTAACATTTTCGAAATATGCTCGTTGTACATACAAATATGCAGTTGAAAAACAGGTCTCGTTAATTAAGGTATTTCAACGCTTATTTTAAACATTTTACGATAGCCTGCTTTGACCATTAAAAACGTTTTTATGGAACAGACCCCTCCGTGAGAAGCTGATAGCAGCTCACATAATCGAGATATTCTCCGCATACTGAACAGATTTCTAAGAATAAATCTCTGTATATCAGTTCTATTACTTGAAAAATTTGGTTATCAGTCAAAGGTTCGCTACCTTTTGCTATTCAAGGACCAATGGAACAGCAATGGGCTTTTGCAGGAACTGCCCTCCGCCTGCCTCACAGTGTACAATTAAAATAAAAGTTTACATATTATTACTATCACGTCTAAACGTATGGACTTATATCATAGAAATCAAAGCGTTTGCTTGGTATTAAAATCGAAGATTAATCGTAAGACTACAAAAATACGTGACCGTGTTTACGATGCAAATTTATTAGTGAAAATGTTTCAAATTTCGCGAATGCAAAATTTGTTTTTCCAGTAATAAAAATATAGATTAAATACTGTATTATGATGCAAACAAACATGAGAGTCCGTGGCGATTCGCGAACCACCCGTTAGGAACGCCATCTGTTGACTAGCGCTGTTAGCAGTAAGTATTTTCAGCAAATGAAGATGGTGCCCTTGTGGTTTAGACTCCCTGTTGACATAGACAATGCATGTCCTCATTCCTCGCCTTCATTGACTCATTACCCCTCGCCTACGCTCTCCACTTCCCAGTACCGCCACTTATGACCTGAAGATGGATGCAGTATGTTTATCCGAAAAGTTGATATCTGCTTACTTATCTTCGACGAACAAACTCACAGTTCGCCTGCTGTGTATTTTTATATATAAGTAATCCGTCAATACGTGAAGTAACCTTCATTTATCACACACTTTCCCCATTTCCTAGTTAACATTTGCTCTCACTGTAACGTATTACATTATCTCATTTCTCCTTGACAGAGTTTGTTCTCTGCTCACAGTGAAGATAATATATTTAGAATTAAATTGTAAACGATATTCTTCTAGAGACCTTTCCACTTCATGTGGGTCGTCTGACAAACAAACCTTTCCCATGTATATAATAATGTTTTCAATGTAGCGCCCTTCTTAAATTGTACACATCAAATTATATTGAAGGTATTTTGTTTCTTTTTATACGGAGCAAAAGTCATGACACATCGCAAAAATACGATTGTTGCGATCCGTGTAAGTGACTGTGAAATTTGTGTTACCCTAAGAGTATCATAAAGATAATGGACGTAAATGCTTTTTTCGTTAGGGTAATATTTATAAATTGTTATTACAACTTGTCTTGGCTAAGGTGGTAACAGTGTTGTCAGCTTTCATGATCTGTTGCTTTGGGCTTCTGAGTTCCATTTTGTTAAAAGATGTGCACCTGCCGGCTGTGTTTTGATCGGTACCACCAAAGATGTATTCTTTCTGCGTCGATGTTTCTTTGTTCGAAGCTGGCGTAATGAGAAATAGTGGGGAGGGAGAAGTGAGAGGGACAAATCCCTCTCTCTTTCAAGTGCAGTTTTTGTAGAAATCTCATGGGAAATCATGAAGCTTATGGGTCATTCTTTGCTTGTGAGTTTCAGTCGTGGATAGGCACCATTCTTCGCAATGTAATACCGTCTTAGGGACAGTGTTTGAACTATATCCTCGGGAAGATGATTATCTTGAACCGACAATATGAATTGCCTGTTGTTGTTTTTGTTTTTGTAGCGGTGCAGTTTGAAAGTTTGTAGGTGTTTTCTCCATTTGTCACGCGATTTTGATTAATGCAGTAAACCTCTTCACATGGTGATCGAACTGCAAATTTATAATAGAGAGTGAAGATTTGCAAGTTTATATAAAATCGAAATATTATGGTTTTTCTCAAAAGGCGTTTGTGTTTAATTAAGATGTAAAACTTCTGTTTTAATTTAATTGAAGATGAATGTATGAATTCGTTCAGTGGGCGTGGCTTTACAAAAAGTTCTCATCACCGTTACAACCTGGAAGTAAAGTGTTTCATTACAGTTTCGTCCATAGTCTATCCAGGTTTTACGCGCATTGGCCGTTGACTGAATTTACTTCCGGTTTTTTAAAGATTTTGCGTCTGAGTTTGAGAATATGTTTGCATCAGCGATAATAGGAAAATGTAAGCAGTAACGAATGAACACCATCGCTAAATGAGGCATGCAGAATTTGAAAGATAAAATTTTGTGTTTTCTACTTGTAGCACACCTTTCCGGTCTCGTGTAGCATGAAAAGGGTAAATTATACGTCAGAAAGCCTCAGAGGGAAATAACCTTGGGAAACGAAGCGTTGGTGGGAGGGTTCTGAAATGGACCTTCGAGAAGGAAGGTGTGCACATGCGTGGACAGGATTCAGTTCGTTTGGTGTCGGGCTCATGTGAACATGGCTAATGCTGTTCTGTTTTCCAGATTATGGGGCAAAGTGCAACAGCACGGCCGACTGTGCCGAACTGCTGATGGATGACGAGGCGCTGTGCCCCCCGGATTCGGCCCCAAGCGACCCGAGTGTGCCCGGGAACCGTTGCCAGTGTGCGCCTGCGCGCTGCGTTCAACCCCTCTGTCGCTTCGGCGCTACCCGAGTACTACTGCGGACGGGGACGACCACACCGGGAGACTGCTGTGACGTATATGAATGTGTGCAGCCAAAAGGTAACACTGACAAGGGACTGGGGGCTGTTCTTTTGGCAATATGAGAAATCACCAGGACAAAATACAATTTGTTTCACTCGGAGGAAGTCCACGTGTGTACGTAATTTTCCATTGACAGATCCAATTATTAGTCCTTGATGTTGGCATTTATGCTTTGAAAGAAAAATATTTTAATGACACGATAGTCATTGTTGAATTTAAATAGACCGGGCTTTATTCGGGCTGCAATAATTGGAAGTATGGGTTAGGTTGGGTACAGTTAACATATCTGAGGATAAACTTCAAATGCTACTCTGGCCTGGATGGATGAAATTCTAAAATTTCGGCTCGTGCATACCTCTGTCGCCTTCTACTCGTAGTCCGATATCAAATATTTTGATATTTTTGTGCGAGTCGCTGCGCTGGCCAGAGGCGCATACACAAGAAGGCTCTGACCGTACAGTACAGGGAAGGCGCATGCGCAGGAAGGCCGTGTGCTTGCTTCTATTGTGGTCTCTCACGAAGGACACAAGCGATTCCCCACTTCATATGACACCCCATGCTGCTTATGGAGCTCGGGTAGCTCGCTTGTTATCATTTACGTAGGACATTGCCTTAATGCTAAATAAATAATGTCATTAAATAACGTAAAGACCAGCCGGCTTGAAGATTTTATTTTATTTCAGATAAAAATTGCAGTGAAGTCATATGTCCAGATGAAGGTGTGGACTGTCCAACTGATAGCTATCGTCTGCCAAACCTTCGTGCTCCAGGGGACTGTTGCTCTCACCCACAGGGTTGTGAATGTCTTCCAGGGCCATGCCCAGAGCCAGATTGCAGTGACGGTGAACATGCTAGAGTAGTGCGTCAAGGCAACCAAAAACCTGGCACTTGCTGTCCACTTTACAAGTGTGTAGAGCACGGTAAGTAATTGTTGAGAATATTGGAGTTTCAGCACTGCCTGTGAACTGAGTGCGAGCATAACATGTATCTGCACAATGCTGAATGAAACCGGTGGTCTGTTTGTTGCAATTTGTACAAATTACGTATGTTAAACGGTCGATTTTAAATGCATTCTGCTTTTTAGTTTTAGCACAAAGATTATCTTTCTTGTGTTATTCTCTTTGTATGAAACAGCCTGACGATTTTGGTGCGGCTTTTAACACTATACAGACTGCATGTCAGAGATTCAGGACTGAAGTTCCGAAGGTTAAGGAGTTAATAGATAGGGAGACGATTGGTCCAGAGAGCACAGGAGGATTGCCTATGGGAGGGGAGGGTACGATTGAGCCAAATCCAGGCCAACAGGGACAAGGATGAGAAAAGCTGTCTTATTAGGGCCACCATAGCGGAAGGCTGGTTCAAGTGTGTGACTTGTTTTCTTGGAGAACCTTCAAAGATTTTGCGTCTGAGTTTGAGAATATGTTTGCATCAGCGATAATAGGAAAATGTAAGCAGTAACGAATGAACACCATCGCTAAATGAGGCATGCAGAATTTGAAAGATAAAATTTTGTGTTTTCTACTTGTAGCACACCTTTCCGGTCTCGTGTAGCATGAAAAGGGTAAATTATACGTCAGAAAGCCTCAGAGGGAAATAACCTTGGGAAACGAAGCGTTGGTGGGAGGGTTCTGAAATGGACCTTCGAGAAGGAAGGTGTGCACATGCGTGGACAGGATTCAGTTCGTTTGGTGTCGGGCTCATGTGAACATGGCTAATGCTGTTCTGTTTTCCAGATTATGGGGCAAAGTGCAACAGCACGGCCGACTGTGCCGAACTGCTGATGGATGACGAGGCGCTGTGCCCCCCGGATTCGGCCCCAAGCGACCCGAGTGTGCCCGGGAACCGTTGCCAGTGTGCGCCTGCGCGCTGCGTTCAACCCCTCTGTCGCTTCGGCGCTACCCGAGTACTACTGCGGACGGGGACGACCACACCGGGAGACTGCTGTGACGTATATGAATGTGTGCAGCCAAAAGGTAACACTGACAAGGGACTGGGGGCTGTTCTTTTGGCAATATGAGAAATCACCAGGACAAAATACAATTTGTTTCACTCGGAGGAAGTCCACGTGTGTACGTAATTTTCCATTGACAGATCCAATTATTAGTCCTTGATGTTGGCATTTATGCTTTGAAAGAAAAATATTTTAATGACACGATAGTCATTGTTGAATTTAAATAGACCGGGCTTTATTCGGGCTGCAATAATTGGAAGTATGGGTTAGGTTGGGTACAGTTAACATATCTGAGGATAAACTTCAAATGCTACTCTGGCCTGGATGGATGAAATTCTAAAATTTCGGCTCGTGCATACCTCTGTCGCCTTCTACTCGTAGTCCGATATCAAATATTTTGATATTTTTGTGCGAGTCGCTGCGCTGGCCAGAGGCGCATACACAAGAAGGCTCTGACCGTACAGTACAGGGAAGGCGCATGCGCAGGAAGGCCGTGTGCTTGCTTCTATTGTGGTCTCTCACGAAGGACACAAGCGATTCCCCACTTCATATGACACCCCATGCTGCTTATGGAGCTCGGGTAGCTCGCTTGTTATCATTTACGTAGGACATTGCCTTAATGCTAAATAAATAATGTCATTAAATAACGTAAAGACCAGCCGGCTTGAAGATTTTATTTTATTTCAGATAAAAATTGCAGTGAAGTCATATGTCCAGATGAAGGTGTGGACTGTCCAACTGATAGCTATCGTCTGCCAAACCTTCGTGCTCCAGGGGACTGTTGCTCTCACCCACAGGGTTGTGAATGTCTTCCAGGGCCATGCCCAGAGCCAGATTGCAGTGACGGTGAACATGCTAGAGTAGTGCGTCAAGGCAACCAAAAACCTGGCACTTGCTGTCCACTTTACAAGTGTGTAGAGCACGGTAAGTAATTGTTGAGAATATTGGAGTTTCAGCACTGCCTGTGAACTGAGTGCGAGCATAACATGTATCTGCACAATGCTGAATGAAACCGGTGGTCTGTTTGTTGCAATTTGTACAAATTACGTATGTTAAACGGTCGATTTTAAATGCATTCTGCTTTTTAGTTTTAGCACAAAGATTATCTTTCTTGTGTTATTCTCTTTGTATGAAACAGCCTGACGATTTTGGTGCGGCTTTTAACACTATACAGACTGCATGTCAGAGATTCAGGACTGAAGTTCCGAAGGTTAAGGAGTTAATAGATAGGGAGACGATTGGTCCAGAGAGCACAGGAGGATTGCCTATGGGAGGGGAGGGTACGATTGAGCCAAATCCAGGCCAACAGGGACAAGGATGAGAAAAGCTGTCTTATTAGGGCCACCATAGCGGAAGGCTGGTTCAAGTGTGTGACTTGTTTTCTTGGAGAACCTTCTTGAGTTCTTTCAGGGTGTCTGATTGACTGGTCTTCCTCTATTTGCTGCTGGCTCAGTCCTACCCCGATTTTACCCATCAACTTCTTGACTTTTTTACACTTCAACCTTGAAAATGAAGGCAGGATGTTCCTACAAATGTTGTACAAAAATGATGCCACAACTTCTTCCTACCATGTTCTTCACAATTCGTTATTTATGAGGCTAAAAAAAGAAATGTTTAGAAATTAATTGATTTGTTGGATTTGAAGATTTATTACAATAATTAAAACAGTCTATCACTGGAATCTGTGATTTTTAGAAGACTGAAGTGACTCAGGACGATGTCAATTGCTGTATTTTTGTGTTGGAAACTTCAGTTCTGTGAGTATTATGTAAGAATACTCGTTTCCACCCACAAAAGGGGCATATCTCACGTTCTGAAACCAAACCTCTGGGAATCCTAAATTGGTAAGGCAGTTGTTTCGAACTGTTAAAAACAGCGATTCTGTAGTTCACTTTTTATATCTCGCAGTACAGATGGAATGTGATGCTTCCAGAACTGAATGACACTTGTGTGTTCGATGGAGATGTGTGGAAGAATGGTTCGACTTGGTGGAAGAATGAATGCACCCAGTGCAGTTGCAACAACGGGCTCAGCTTCTGTGCCGAAAGGACTTCCCAATGTCCCGAACTGCCGTCATCTTGCCGGGTGACTCAGGTTCCACAGGGAAAGTGCTGTCCGGTGTGTGTTGGTGAGTTCAATGCTTCAAATGAAAGTCTTTGTTAAGCAGCTGTTTTTTATATTCTATTTCCTGCAACATATTATAATCTTTAATTTATTTGAGTTTATTGACAGTTTACAATGTTTTTTAGTTTTTCATTTCTTGATTTGTTGAATTACGGATAGAAAAATTTGCTTTTTGTATGTCTCAAGGCTCTTCAGATTAAAGAAGGTTTGTGTTTAAAGTACAGACATTTTAATTATTTCAATTAGTAATATGCATTTTACCATAAAAATTTAGATTTTTTGTGATAATTGAATTTGGAACCGTAAAATAATATCGTGTTTGTTCTTATGGGACTGTAAACATTGTTGCACTAAGAAATATGGAAGGAAATGTAATTGAAGTAGGTATATACTTTTCTTTGACTTTGATCGAACATTCAGCTGAATATACGGAGTAGATGTTTAGGGAGCGAGACACCCATAACATGTGATTAGAGTAATACAAAATGTGTATAACACAAAGAAAATCTTGAATACTAAATCAAGGAACAGGACATGTAACTAACAGAGGACTTAGGGGTCTCTATCAAATGACCAGAGTGGTTGATAACTGCAAAAATATTTATTTCACTAAAATCAAATATGTAAATTCTACAATTTTAGAATGTAAATTAAAAACCACTAAAATGCCTTTCTTCACAGCAAAAATTCAGTACAATCAGAATTAGTTATTGATAATCATATTAGCAATGGCTAGTTTCGCACAGTTTCGATCAGCATTTGAATGTGATAAATTATAACCGTTTTATTTAGAATCCCAATGTTCAAATGATTTGGCACTGGGTTATATATAAATATTCTCCATGCTTTCTGACAATCTTCAGAAGCTGATCCGGTAGCTGAGAACTCGCTCATACTGTCTGGTGGCTGTGTTTCATCAACTGGAGAGCTTCATCAGAATGGTGAGGACTGGCAAGAGGACCCCTGTACTACCTGCACGTGTGTCGCTGGTGCCAAGAAATGCCAGGCACACATGTGTGTCCTAAGATGTGATCATCCACGTTATGTTCCTGACGAATGCTGTCCTCTCTGTGATGGTAAGACTGAGCTCTCCACTGTCAATCCAGGCACTGTTATCTTACGGTACGGAATAAATGCCTGTTGGTTAAGTTAAAATGTTCAGCGTATTGCTTCTTCGCTATGTATTGCGAATAATTACAGCAGGAGAATCTGACATCTTTTGGCCATATTTGAAGTTACTACTTCAAAGCCTTCATCAATTTCCCCCAAAAGCATTGTGATCAGTGGCTAGATTTATTTTTTTCAGTTTAAAAAATGTATCATGCAACATACAGCAGAGGGGCAGGAAATTATTGTTTACCCTTTGTTTTTCTACCATAGTCTAAGAAAAACAATATACCAAGATACAAATTGTTGCAGTGTGAAACATTCATTCGAATATGCTGTCAAAATGTGACAAAAGTTAAGAGAGAGATACCGTGTCCATCTTCAACCGTGATGGAGGAGACATAGTTTCTCTGAAACATTGGCATCTACTGATCAGTCCACAAAGTGCAAAAAGCCATAAGATCATCATTATCTGTTTGGTAGTTTGTCTTTACAGTTAGAAATTGTTATTGCAGTTCAGAATTAAGTATATTTGTTTCTATAACATATTTACGGGCAGTACGTGTGTGTAGGAATATAAGTGTGTTGGTAGAAAACAGTTTAGGAAACATGTAAAAAAAATTCTAAGTGAAATTTTCCCCTTTTTACTATATAATTGCTGTACTTCAGAAGTAGTTTGTATTTCCATCAACTTCTGATTACACTGATGGATGTGTTGGTTGTGAATTCTGCAAATTCCTGGCGAACTTTGAACTTGGTACTAAGAAGATTTCCATAGCAAATGGAGTCAGGTGAAACCTACAAACCATGGCAATTGTGATTTTTCAGTGATTTCCTATTAACGTCATGTCTGAACCTAGTGTGAGAACTATCCAGTCCCTTACCAGAGGTACCGAGCGCTGTTTCTCTGTGGGTAAAGTGGCTAGAGTTTTGCTTTATGCCTTCATGTCCTTGTGCTTATGGGGGTCAGTGCCAAGACATGACCATTTATTGACCTTTTATGCAGCTCGGTACATCCCATGAAATGCAGTGTCCTACATCTCGTAGTTGTCTTCTTAGCTTCGAGACTGTCGGTTCAGCGAAGTGCATGCAGGAACTGTTGGCTTCCAGGGGTTAAGCATGTTCGTCTCTCTTACAGCAACATCGGTGGTCACAATTCCTCCACACTGCCCAGCTCTCAACAACTGTTCCCTGCGCTGCTTGCATGGCTTTGTGAGGGACAATAATGGTTGCTACAGCTGTCGGTGTCAAGCAGGTAAACATAAGCTATAAGCTACCAATATCCTTCATACCTCCGTAACTGTATAATTATTCTTGCTATCCACATCATATAAATTGAAATGTTTGAAGGGAGACACGTATCTTAAGTTCTCAGAACTACATATTATTAAAGGAATCACCATTCTTCTTCTTCTTCTTCTTCTTCTTCTTCTATGGCTCTCCGGTCCGTATTCGGTCCATGGCCTCCTCAATTCTCCTCTTCCATTCGGTCCTCTGTTAGGTCTGTCTGTCCGAGGCTTTGATCAAGGTTTCGAAACATCTTCCTTTTTTGGTGCAAGGTTGTTAGCCTTGCGATCAACCCCCAACCTGGAGGACCAAGGTACCTGTCTTAGTCTGACCTCTCCCCCTCGACCAATCTGGCTAGGGAAGCCCTACCAGTAGCTATGCTACCGCCAGCATAGCTCTTGGAGTCACTGAGGTACTCAAGCCCCCACCACCACGACAAGGTGCAGGTACCATTAAGTGAGGATCACCATTGAGGAGCTTGGAATTTCTTCCTTGCTATTAGGTTTTCAATGTATGTGTCTGAGGAATAGAAATTAGAGGCAATAAAATGATATTTCTGATTTTCTTGACAAACCGTTGCGGATCGGACGCATGTTAATTTGAACTTTTCTACTCAAGTTAAGCTAAGGACATCCTATTGCGGGACACCTTGTATATATTAATGTCTCCAATTTTTTATTCATGAAATTAGCCTGTAGGCCACACTTGGATGTGCAAGTTACTTAACGGTGGTATAAAAGATAATATTGATAACTTGCAGTTGCATTTGCCTTTCCGAAGAAACAATTGTTCTCTTGATCGGTTTCAGATGAGTGTGTGCTGGAGTGTCCAAATGGCTACTTGCAAGACAGTCATGGAAACAAGCTGTGTGAATGTTCAGCCGAGTGTCCTGCACTCTCAGATTGTCATAAGAATTGCTCGCACGGCTTCCGACTCAACAAAGCGGGCTGCGAAGTTTGCAAATGCAAGGAGTGTCGCCCGTTGATGGACTGCAACAAGAATTGTGTGCATGGGCTGCGTACTAATGATCGTGGCTGCCCAATTTGCAAATGTAAAGGTTGGTATAACTTGTTTTAAGTAATTCTTTTTTTTTAAAGGAAAAGATGGGCTTTTGTTGACATCATGCCTGCATTTGTATCTGTCTCTCTAATTAATGAATGGGCATGGAACATGGTGTGAACATCGAGCCACTTGAAGTTATTCAACCTTCATACTTCCATCAGTAATGTCAGCATGACTGATGCACATACTTCTTTGGTAAAAGGGGTGATAGGGCCACGAAGCATTTTTTGGTAAATGATCTTCAAATAGTATGCAACTTTTTTCATGTCATATTCTTGCATAATACAAAGCAAGAACAAGATGGCCGTACGAAATGTAATATACTTAGCTTGCAGTCTGATGATTAGTTTCGTTTGGAAATAGACCATAAACATACCATTAAATTTTACATAAAACATTGTTTTGAATGTTAAATATCTCAAACAAGCAGCTGACATGAAACTGATAACTTTGAGGTAGCAGAAATCTCTGCTAATGTATGTTACGTATTTCACCGAGTTTATGCTTCATTGCCATACTTTGGGACAAGAAAATTATTTACATTACACATCAAAATCTCTATTCAAAATTCAGTAAGCCTTGAGTTCCAAGACGTTTTGTATCTTAATAAACTTCTGCTCAGGTAATTGTTCTATGATTACTTTGGTGTTTACTTCGTCTGGACAGTGGTGGGTAATTATTGCTGCCTGCAGGCTATGGAAAGGATCTGAAATGCTCTTTGGAACTCGAGCAATACAAATATAAATCTGTTTAGTCAGTGAGACTGAGCAGCTGAGTTTATAGCCCCGATGCTTTAAGAAGTATAATTTGTTATGCTCTGTTCTATCTACTGTTATTCAGCGGTTTCGTGTCATTGTTGTGTGTTACAGCATCATCAGAACATATCCCCGAAGTTACGACATCTAACCATATCATTACAGAAACGTCGTGCATATCAGCAGGTATGTGTCTGTTACTTTAATCTTATTGCATTTGGTAATATTGACCAGTTGTTTTTGGCAGCGGAACTTCAGGTATGACTTTTTCAGGTGAACTGCATCATGATGATGGAGAAGTATGGTTTGATGGATGCCGACAGTGTTACTGTCATGGTGGAGTGGAGATGTGTAACCTCATTACATGTCCAGTGCCAGCCTGCAAGCAACCAGTGTTGAATGTATCACGTGATTGTTGTCCACGCTGCCCAGGTGATGCTCAGATTTTTTAAAGTTAAAATCGGTTTACAGACTGGCAAACAGAAATATTGCTTCTTCTAATGGAGATAACTTCCACCCCTGATTTTGGGAACAGGCATGTGAATGTGAGGCCAGCAGTCAAGCTAGTCGACTTTGGCTCTCTGGAGCTGTTACGCCACGGATTTAACCAGTAAACCCCAGCAAACTTTCATACTGAGTACTACTATGCTCAGTAAAAATGTGACAAAATAATATGCATAGTGGTGCTATCTGTATATAAAAATTCATGAAATACAAAAGAAACCTAATCATCAGCCACATCTACTTAAGCAGAATGTGCCTCATTGGCTCACTTGTTTGGTGGAAGAGAGAGAATTGGATATTGTCTTCCAAGGCAACAAACATTCTTTCAGGCTTCAGAGATACTTTTGTTTCTTTCCACTTCTTGAACTTTAGACCCTCATTCTTTCTTATACCTACATGGAATTTTGGCTTTGATTTTCTTGGATCACTTTATTGTTACATTTTATCTTTCACAGACACAGGGTACAATGAACACAAACCTAAGAAACTTCAGCAAGCAATGGTGTGTCATTCAGTGGATGGTGTGTATCGAGTTGAAGGAGAAACATGGCCTCTAGATGCTTGCACACAGTGTCTTTGTCATTTGGGGCGAGTGTTGTGCAAGACACATCACTGCCCACCTGCACCCTGTCTGAAACCTGTTTATCAGGCTGGACAGTGCTGCCCCATGTGTGCTGATTTTGCTCCTGTCTCAAGTCCTGGACATGCCAAGTCATGCAATGCACATCACCTACATGGAACAGCATGGATGGAAGACAGCTGTCGTAGTTGTGCGTGCGTGAATGGTCATGTTAGCTGCTTTACACAGCAATGCACTAACATAACCTGCAGCCGGCCAGTCCTTGCCAAAAATCAGTGCTGTCCCATATGTCTAGGTAAGCACTTTTTTTGGTTTCTTTGAATCAATTTCTAATAGTTTTATACATCTTATTGTTCTTGATATTTATTTATTGACCATACGAATATTGTTGTTGGAGATAATAAAAAGTAGAGAGATTACAATGCAAAGAGATATAAATCCTGTTGCTGATGGCCCATTACGGTGTTCAAAAGATCCTGCCACTAGACCCTGTCTTGAGCCAATTGAATGTAGTCTGCACTCTCATATCCCATTTTGTAAGATCCTCAATTTCACATACATTGGTCATTTTTGAAGTCATGCCAAATAATTAGAGGCCATATGTATTATTTTGCAACATGATACTTTTTTTTATAGAATGGGTTTTTTGGCCTGTCCTAACCTCAAACACACTTACACCTTCTAGTGTTGTGAGACATTTTTGGTAATTATGGGGCTTTACTTGTGTTGTAGATCGGTCTTCACCAAAAACCTGCTCTGTGGGCAATGTCACATACCATGAGGGTGAAAACTGGCATGAAGATGCATGCACTCGCTGTCAGTGCAGCAGTGGCCAGAAAATGTGTACACAGAAAGTATGTTCTGTTTCCTGCATAAATCCGGTCAAGAAACCAGGAAAGTGCTGCCCAGTTTGTACAGGTAGGAATACTGTTGTTGTAACAAATTATAATGTCTTTATGTTTTGTTCTTAAATGACAATCACAAGTGTTTGTAATTTTATTTAACAGACTTTTATCCTGAGATTAAGAAGCTATTTAAGTTAAATTATGTTTCATTAAAGTCAATAAATGAAGCTGAATACTCCTTGTTGTATGAGCTGGGATAGCTCAGTCAGTATAGTGACTAGCTACGGGCTGGATGACCGGGGTTCGATCCCTAACTGGGGCAGAGGATTTTTCCTCTAGCCTCTGCATCCAGACCAGCTCTGGGGCCCACCCAGCCTCCTCTACAATGGGTACTGGGGTCCTTTCCCAGGATAAAGCCGGCCGGGGCTTGATGCTGACCACTTACCCCCATCTAGTGCCGAAGTCAAGAAAGAGAGGAGCTATACCTCCACTCACTCCAAGCGCCTGTATGGCACGTAGTGGGACAAACTTTACTTTACTTTACTTTACTTTACTCCTTGTAGCTGTAACTGATACTGAGTTGAAGGTGCACATGCGCAGATGGCCGTGCACAGAATGTTTTATTCTTAGTACCTAGTAACCCTTATATAGAAACAAAGATCTTTTTTTTGTGTTGTCCAGTTTTTAGGAAGTAGCCCGTAATGCTAATCTTGGCATTAAGAGATTTAGGAAAGTATATTGTCCAAAGTTAATTTCATTAGTGTGCTTATTTTTAATTATGTGCAGAAGCTGACAGCACTAGGAATCATGGCGATTCAGTTCCTTCATCTGAGGTTGCGCCGCTGGGGTTCTTCACAGAGTCGGTGTATATCACCATCATATTGGTGCTTGTGTGCGTCATCATCTGCTTTGCATTCTACTTTGGATACCAATATTGTTGCCACAGGCAACAACTCAAGCTAGATAGCACTCCAAAGTCATGTCCAAATCCTGCATATCATGGTTACGTGCACAGGGACTCTTGCGCTCCTCCACAGTACACAAGTGGTGACTGCCATAGATCAAATGTAGACCCTTATCAGTATGAGTATGTTCCTGCATATGACTGTCAATGAAATGTTTGTCACTTCAGTCGGGGATGTAGAAAAATCCACTTCTGCCCCTGTGTAGAAATGGATGAACTTCATAAAAAATAGTGTGATAAGACTGCATATTCAGTTACTTAATGTTTGAGTTGGACCTACAAGTAATTTGGTCGCAACTCGTGAGAAATTTGTTGCGCTGACAGGTTGAATATACTGTGAAAGTTGCAGAGTCTGTAAGTTCTTGGATTCTGACTGACCTACCTTTACCTTGTGAAGATGGTTTTGTAAGTAACATAATAGTACCTTATTTGTGTTACTGTGGTATGCACATTTATGTTTATCAGTTTGTGACTAACACTTCATTTGGTTATGCCCGTAGTCACATCTGGATTCGTGGATAAACCTGATATCTAGTTCCTGTAATATAAATGGCTGTTTGGAAGAGGGAAGGTACAATTAGCAGCTGTATGAACAATTTGACATGCAACAGATCCCTCAGTGATGTCAGTAATGTTGTGTGTGTTACATCAATATTTGTTTCTTCTGTCCAACAAACCGTGAGCCTCAATGTTCACCTCTAGCCTTTTTTTAACTAACTGATCAGTTGTTGGACATTACATTTGAGATCAGCGTCTTGGAGTCGCAGAGGACTTCATACATATTCAGGGAGGTGGGGCAAGGCTCCAGTAACAAGAGGGGTGCAAGTTCCTCTTTTCCTGTTTGATAAGCAGATTCATCTGGAATTGGTTCCTTAGTTGATCTGGTAGTCACACAAAAGATAATGTACTTGATGATCTCCAATTATGTTTGTGTGTAATAATAATATTAATTATAAGAAAGGTGCATAATGGTACAATAATATGAATGTCGTGTAATAATTTGAAGAAAGGAATGGATAATGTTAATATGATCCATATGAATAAAACTTAAATGAACTGGATTCTAAATTGACTTTACACATTTACTATAAGAAATAGGTTTTTAAATATGTATAGGACTTCCCAAATATCAGTATCTGATAAAAAAAAGTTATGTACCTTTTTATATTGAAGTGTAATTAAATTCATTTATCGAGAGAAAAGTTACAAAGTATCTTATAAATTGTGAAGAGACTGCAAGTAAGATTAATCTGTAGTAATGTGTGTTCAAACATCGGTAGAAAAGTAAATATGTTTTTACGTGTCGAATGCAGTTAGCAGCATTCTGATTTTTACATAATTGAATTTTTATCTTGCATAGATGTGCTGGTAGTTACTGTTCTTATATACAAGGTCTGTGATCATATAACCAATACAATGGTAGGGATTGTGTTGCAACACTGAAGTGCATTCCAAGTAGTCGCATGATATGTTACTGCAGATAAATTATGTACATAGTTGCTACATTTTTAACACAACCGTACAAAGTTGTTTTATTCATCAATTGATACTGTCATAAGCAGAGAAATCTGTTGTGGCTTATGTTGTTATGGAACAGCATTATACCAGATTGAAAACTGGCAGATATTCACTAACATTTCAAATAACTGCTGTACTCTAAACACTGATAAGGTAGTGAACATCAATGCTGATTCTGCTTGGAATGTACCATTGTTGTGCTGTATTTACTCAGTAGAATAAAATTTTGCAGTGACACAAAGTTGCAGAATGTTACAGTGTTTGAACAACACAAGAAGGTTACAGATGTGAATTAAGAATGTAACAATGAACTTTCCATGTCACTATTATATAGTGGTGAAAGCGAAGTGCTGCCTTGAATCAATACAAAATGTTGGGAGTATCTGAATATAAGGTGCTGTAAAGCTTTATTCCAAATTTAGGACTTGATCTAAAAATACTGTTTACCTAAATATTTTATGCATGCAGTGGTTGAAGTTCCTTCTATATTTTGAGGAACCTATTTCACAATGTTAATTAAAATTTACTGCAGCTACAGCAAATTTTAGCGTGAGAACTGCTGCCAGTTTTTAAGTTGTTGATGTTCTGACTGTGACTTATCTTGATAAATGCTAAAGTGAAAGATGGGTGTTACAAAATTAGAAAATTCATCAGATGGAATGGTAATGCAACATGGGGTTTTCTCAGAAGTAGACAAATTTGTATAAGACTTTCAGAAAGAACAAAGTAATTAGTGATTCTCATACACCAACACCTTTTATGAATAATACAAAAAAGATCTTAATTAACCATTTTTAAGATGTTACAGGAGTCAATTCCAATAATTGGAATTTCTTTCTTCTGTGTACCATGAAGAAACTTAATATCTACACATTTTACATGACCACTTATTAAGGATGCGAATATATTCTGAAAAATCCACATCAAAGTATTATTTAATACATAACGTATCAGATTGTTTGTTAATGCATGCGGACACTGCAAATTTCTGCTTCTGAACTATAGTAAGAATAGTGGGTAAGCAAATTTCTTTTTTCATGTTCAGTGTATAAAAAGTAAGTAGGTGTTGCCAGATCTTCAACTGCGTTAAAAAACTGTCTTTGAATTGTAACACAGTCACATGGCATGTTCTGTATTAATGAGTTGTCTTCTTCCATGTTCTCTGAATTGTGTCATCTTAGAACTAATGTATTTCTTCCTGAGAGATTCATTTTTCTGTCACATCCTGTGTATATGTTACAAATTCAAAGATGTCTGTTTTGTGTTTGTGTTGAGAAGCAAAATCTTTTAAGCACAAAACATGTTTGGGCAACTTTTTTTGAGCGCATGTCAAAAGACATTTTTATTACATATTCTTAAGATACTTATGAATTGACCATCATGTGTCTGTCCTGAACCTTCTTGTGACAGTTGACAAACACCACAGTTACTGGAGCATTTTGTATTGCTTTCAGAGTTTTTGTTGGTGTTTACACACAGAGATCTAAAACATGACATATTAGTGTTCTGTCTTCCACGTTCCTGGTATTGAAAGAATTACCTCTGATAAAGTCATAACTCAGACAAAGAAGACATTTAGGAAAGCACAAGAGAGGATGGAAAGATTCTGTTTTTGTAATACCTGTAGCAGGCAGTCTATAAAAACGTGGTGTCTTTGTGTGTGCTGGTGTTAGATGCTCTCAAAGTTTTTGAATCTTGCACTTGGAAACAATTGTTATATATCAGACAATCGTGTTTGCAAAATATTGCTCTTTACAAGCTGTGCTCTAAGTTTTATTAATAATAATTATTTATAAAATAATTATGAATGTATGAAACGAGGGTTTTATATTTTGCAGTACAGAATGATACAGTAAATCAGCTCTTTTTCAAAATACAGAGGGACATAGAAATTAAATAGGCTTTTTTTTAAATGAACATGTAAGAGTTAAAATGTTTCCAAAGAAATTGAAATTGTATCCTACATCTGATTTCAGACATCTTGTTTTAAAGGGGAAGAACTGCGCAAAATTAAATAAAGATTTTAGTGCTTTGCAAACATTTTATGGTTTTCAGTGTGGGGGTGATAGAAAGTCATGTTCTTGGCTGCATTGACAGGAGCATTGTTGTAGTGTGGTAAGGGCAGCTCTTAAGTCTTGTAACAGGCTGGGTAACCACTTGAGGCCGGCTTCTGTTGCTGTCCTTGTAACTAGTTTCAGTATGCAGTTCCCATACAATACATACATCACCCAAGTCTTGCTTGCATTTCATCAAATTCAGCCATTAATAACAAAGCTGCTTCTTCTATGGCTCTCCGGTCCATATTTGGTCCATGGCCTCTTCAATTCTCCTCTTCCATTCAGTCCTCTGTTAGGTCCGTCTGTCCGAGGCTAGTTGATTTTAATCATCAGTGGGCTTGCTCTTGCATTAAAATAATTTTTCAGCTTTTATGCATTAAAAATATGTTATTAATTAAAGTACTTTCCATTTTTTATTTTCTTTATGTACTAATAACTCCTGTATCTTATCCAAAAATAAACTTCTGTCATACACATGTGCCAGCAGTGGTTTGTGTATGCACAGTCTAGTCCAAATAAAAGTGTTTTAAAGACTACAAGCACACTGGAAAGTAAGTAGCATCTAGTACCGTACTTACTGTGCCCATTGAATTTGTTTAAAATATACCAGGACAACTCTGACTTGTTTCATTGAGCAATGGCTGGTCACTGAGATGTTTGTTCTCTGCCTTGTGTTACTGCAATTCCCAAATGAAAACTAATTAATTGTTTTAGTGCTATATAGAATTCTGAAACTGTATTTTATTTTTTGAAGCAGTGTAAAATAATAATATGTGTATATAACTATATCATACCAAGTAAACATATGTCTGTATTTGTGTAACACTCATGGCTAGAGGAAGCAGTATTGTTTCCTTAAAATACTGTATAATGCCATAAGCATTATGAGGGAATGCCAGTGTTTGAAACTGCTTTTCTGTTAAAGATATAAATATCATTGGCTTAGAGGTATGGTGACATTTTGTGCTAAAACATGTTTCATACTTCAGTGATTCAAGTGGAAACTTGTAGATGAATTTACATTTTCATTCTTTGTTGCTTATCTTGTGCTGATCAGTAAAGTTTGTTTCAAATTGAGTGATCATTTAAAGAAATCAAACCTTCTCTGTCAGTTTCTGTGCTAATTGAATGTATTCATGAAAATTTCCAAAGACTAAAATGATTCTGAATGTTTTGGTTAACCAATATACATTACTGTACATTATACTTTGTCATACTTTAAGATGTCTTTCACAATGTACTGTTTTGGAAAAGGAGGTGAATGATGTTCTCATACCTCTGAAACCAAGTTCCTTACAATAATTCACTAACCTTTTGGAGAATACAGTTGAAATATGTGAACAGTAGTTTTATTAATGATAATTTGCACATGTTACATGAAATGTACCTGTTCCATTAACAAGCTTATTCCACTCTTAAAAAACACTGGTTATGGCAGGATTCTTTAGTTAAAGTGAGGTAATTACATCTGTAAGAGTGTAATTTTAATTTAATACCTGCTGGTATTTGTCACATTATTTCATTAAACTGTTATGTAAGAATTCTATAAAAACAGCGGTATATGTTATGAGAATTATTTGTCTACAAATTTTCAAGAAACATATCAGTAACAAAAAATATTATATGCCACTTGAGTGAGACATGGAATGCCAAATTGTCAAGTATTGTCTTCATAAATTATTTTTTCTCTACACTTTCTGTTGATTAATTTAGGAAATTAATGTATTTATTTTTATGTGTAACTATATATCTTTAACTTACAGTAATTTATATACTCTCCTGTTGTCAGTTGATACACAAACAAAAGCTGAAATTTTGCAATGCATACTGGAAAATTTATAGATGGTATTACACCGGTAATGAATCATAGTATACTCTGTTCGTTTAGTAAAAAGTAATACACAACTTTGAATTAATGGGTTTCATAATTCACATTCCAAAATAGAGTGTACCTGTATTTTGACAGTGAAATAGATTGAGGGAGAGAGTGATACAGGCTTTGAAATTTCTTTCTGTTTTACTTGTCTTCCCTTTGTATTAAGAATTGGCTAATTCTTTTGACTTGCACAGTGCCCAAGGCATTAGAAAGGATGGCTCAGAAAGATGAGCATGCAGCAAGAGGCATGGCAGTTCGAGTATCAACTATTTTTTGCTAATTACACTGTTAACCTTTGTTTGGCCATGCATCATGTCTTGTCCGTGGTCTAGCTGACTGTGCTCTTTTTAAATCCCCAATTTATGTAGAATAAAGGTTAAGATACAGCTTGTAGGTTAACCAAGGAAATGATATGCCATCTGAATTGTGAAACATCACATGTTTAATGTCTTTTGGTGTTGTGGTGTTCTTTCTTTCTCACTAGGTCTTGCTAAGAAGTTTCTGTATAATTTGTCCAATAATATCAAGTTGAAAGGTGTTCTAATGGTTTTGAAAAGTGTGATTGTTTCAGATGATGGTGATGACCAGTTGAAAATTATCATAGAAACATAGCAGTGTCAAACTTCATAAGGCATCTTTTAAGTTGATCTCGGCCATTGCCCCTTGCTTCAGAATGAATATAAGAAGTATTACATTTGAATGTTTGCAGAATTTAAATTAAAATGTGATACTTGCTGAACATGTGTAATGTGTTAAATTGTATATAGAGTATGTATTGTATGTTTGTATGTATGTAATTAATTAATAAGTAAAATTCCTCTAATTTATCAATCCTGTTCCTATAAAGAAATGTTTTTCCCCTTTTTATGCAAAAGGAAAAAGGCAGGTATTTATTTTTTTATTTGTCATCTTAATTATTATTGTTGCTACAAAGTTACATCATGCTGTCCAATGTAGTTTTAACCTGCCTGTGACTGCAGTGATGCTATTCTTCTATCATTTCATTTACATTGGTTCGAGTTGTGCCAGATATATCACCTGGTTCATTTGCCAGACCTAACTGCCTGCCTTTTTTCCCTTGTCTCTTAGTCCTGTGTCTGCTTGTTTGTCCCTTCACCAGCCTTCTGATACCTTCCTCCTCCCTGTTACAAAAAGTGCCTCTCATTTTCCCTCTGCTGCCTACTTACATGATTTGATTTTTCTTCTACCTCTTACTATCTCCATTACCTGTCTTGCTTTCTCTTTATTAGGATAAATGGTCAGGCAGTTCAGCAAGTAGAGATGTGTAGTGAACCAGGGAAATAAATGGACAGTGAATTCCGAGATTGGCTAAAACAGCAGGCTGACATGAAAGCTGGAGGAAAGACAGGAATTGAGAAAATAGGATGTTAACCTTTTGAAGCTGAACCAGATCTAAATATAAAAGAATTAGGTCTTTATCACACAGCACAACTCTCCACCACTACAAAGATTACCTGGTTGCGCTGTTTAAGGAAGTACTCCTCGTTTACACTGAGAATCAGGTGAAACTCATCATTGCCTCTAAATGGTTAATGGTACCTAGACCCGGAGGAAACATAAGAGCTGGGTATATGTAGAGTAAAAATTGAGCAGCTGTTTAAGCATGAACAGAAATTTCCCTATACAGATATTTTACATAAGTTTTATATAATCTCTTGTAAATTAAGTTCTGTATGTCAGACTCGTGGGAAAATAGAACTTATTTACATCCCATAGATGCTCCATAGGCCTAACTGAGCAAGTGTCCATGCATGAAGTGAGACTGATTCCAGGTCAAATTCCGTATTAACATAGGAAGCATTATCCATGGGGTTGGTTATTAAATATAACTGGGAAGTTTTAGGTTTATTACAATAAAACATGGTAAGCACGTCGTCATGTGCATGTAAAAAATACTCTAAACCTTTTACCTGTATGTACAAAGAAGCTCTATGGAATCTAATGGCGCAGTGATAGGTTTAGTAAGGTGATCAATGTTCAGATGGCTCTAAAATCGCATAAACAACGAGAAATATCAGTCATTGGCGAAGGAACGAATTGAAAAGTAATCTGTTGTAGAACTGCAATTTGTTTTAAGAAATTTCATAGTGACTTATTAAAGCATTACGTGAAATAATGACGTAGAAACACTTAATTAGGTATGTTGTTATTGTGGTCCTTGTTGTATGTATTGGAATTTAGCCTAAAATTTAAGCATAACCTTTCCTTTGTTTACTATAATCTGCTGTAAATTTTATTCAGTTTGTAGTCGTATAAAGGCTAATTAGGGACAACATATAATGGAATATAAATGAATTTCCATTATTGTAAAATCCTATGGCATGTACTATTCTGTGTCATTATTTTTTAACGTATTTAATTTGGTATGATTTTGATCATTTTTTTTAAGTTGTTGTTGAAAGGTCTGTGGCATCTTCTACGTCTTTAACTTGGGCCTATGAATGATGTATGGAATGTAAATAAGTTCTATTATACTACTGGAGATTTTAACCAGTCCTCCGAAATTAGTGGTTGGAGCTTTAGAAGTGATATCTCCTATATACTGACTTTAAAATTACTCCTTAATTCAGATGCATGTACTTGGTATCAAAAAGAAAACACCAGTACGTCAGCATTCAGTTTTATTGTCACTATTAGTCACATTTATTATTTGATGTTTACATCGGTTTTTATATTACATGAACTTGTAATGTTCATTTAGCTCTTACTCCACTGTTTGACTCTGGGGCCCACCCAGCTTCTTGTCCAATGGGTACAAAGGGTCCTTTCCTCAGATACAGATCAGCTAGGGTGTGATGCTGACCACTCACCTATGTCTAGTGCTGATGTTGAGAATGAGTAGGAGCTATACCGCCTTTCTCTTCCCATGAGTGTCTGCATGGCACATGGCAGGATAGATTTTTAGGAGATTTTTGTAAAGTCGTCTATTAAACAACATACTTTTGTATTCAGGGTAACAACCCATGACTTCTGAAGAATTGCGGAAAATAAGTGTTATGTGTACCTTTATGTCATAAAGATTTAAATTTCTGATGAAAGGATAGAATTTGATTTTACTGCTTCACCATATCCCACTACATATATCTGTAAATATCATTTGTTGATTAAATGAAGCCCATGAACTAAACCAACTGAACATCTAACCTCTAATTCTTTCAATTGTTGACATATATAAAAAAACCTCTAGGTTGTGTCACATGTAATGTTTATGTTGTTTTCAAACTGTTGTGTTCTCAGAGAGAAATGTGCGTATACAGCACAGATTTGAAGAGTAATATATATCTACCTTAAGTAGCAAGATGGCTGCCACTCTGGAAGCAAGTTATCAGCCACTCCAGCCATATGGGCCAGAGTTAGGAGAACCAGAAGAAACACCACAGGACAGTGGTGTGATGATCCATGTTGTTCCTGAGAATAGTAGAGGTAAGAATTCTCTTGCATTTTATACAAATATTTTAGGGGGTTCACTGGAAACACACTAAATGACAAGTTCTTTATAAGAGATGTTTCTAAATAAGAGTTGTGTGTTAATTGTCGTTCCTCTTGTTCATTCTTCTGTTTATATAGTTTCACTAGCTTTCTATTCTTTGTAAAGGAAAATAATTTGTAAAACACAGCCCAGCTTTAACAGGGGATTTGGAAGGTGGATATATGAGATAACTGAAATTAATGAAGATCATTAACTTTTATTGTTTGTGTATCACTGCTTACATTTGATTCAGATGATTGTGTTGCATTAGCATACCAGTAAACTGTCAAACCCAGAGTTAAAGTCCAGTCAGCAGCATCATTTGTATGGGTATCTAAATCCCCTATTACAGTAAAATAAAACAGGACACCTTCATTACAAATTTCCTAAACTGAGAAGTTGAAAACTGTACATATTACTATTGTTTTGTATGTTTGGAAAATTTGCCTCTTACTGTGGTGGAGAAACTCGAATTCACAGAGTGTTCTGGAATGAGGAGTTAAAAGAGGAATGAGATGATTTATGAAATTACATGCCATCCATTTATGCATGTTGCTTTGTATTGTTGGCATAGTAAAATTAAGTAGATTATAATGGTCTGCATATGGAGTTGAAATGGGAAAAGAAGAAGTGCTTGTGGAGATTTGGTGGGAAAGCTGGTGAAGGAGTGGGAGCACAGTTATTCCCATATGTACAAAGTCTGTATTCATGGTCAAGTTTCCAAGAATAAATTAAGATTTTTCTTTGAGAAGTTTTCTTTAGTGTATCTTTCCAAGCTTTGTACTGTTTCTCTATATTTAACCCAAATGCCTTATGTCATGGCAAGCCTCAGTCCATGCCTTGCTGTTGTTCTGGTAACATCTTATAAAATTAGCATCTTTTATCTTTCTGTTGTCATGCACCTGTATCTCCCATAAGAAAAATAAGTGATATTAACAATTTGTAGGTGTAAAAGTTGTGAAGAGAGATAATACTGGTAATATCCATGCTTTATTAAAAGGGTGCATGCATGTTTACAGTCATCTTGGAAATGTATCCCAAGCAAACACAGATATGTTGTATAACATTAGATATATTGGAGGAACAGCTTTTAAGGAATGTGAATGAGTATGAGGAACTTATTAGTCACTTACTAGGTTGTGTAATGACATTGCTTAAACTACATATGTTATGTACTACTGACTGAGGTAGGTAGATACTGATTTTTAAAGAGGTAATCATTAACTGTTTGGAAGTAGTATCATGACATTTACCTGAAGAAATAGGAACATACAGATATATCAGGATGTCACATAGCCAGTCTGTCATATACCATTCCACATTATCATAAGACCAACCTGTTCTGTCGTGGGACATATGATTATGTCCAAAGGTGGGTATATTTAACTTTCAGGTTCTAATTCCTGAGAGCTGAAGTGGACAATTAATTACTTTGTCAATGACTGAATGTTTTGTGTGTGCTATCACCATTACATTAACATGATGTAATGGTTAGCACTTCAAGTCTAGGGTTAAAATTTCGGCCCTAAGACCAATTATGCTTTGTAAGCTGTGCAGTTGAAAAAAAAGTGTATATAAGGGAACAAGCATGAAATTACATCGATTAGCCTTAAAGTAAACTGTATCTTGCAGCTCGTTGGAACCACATAGAAGACTTGGACTCATTCTTTGCCAGAATGTACCATTATCATCAGAAACACGGGTTTACCTGCATGATGCTGCAAGAGATATTGGAGTTACTGCAGTTCATCTTTGTAGTTGTGTTCTCCACATTTCTGTTCAACTGTGTGGACTATTCTATACTTTTTAGGTACAGTAAAATATTGTTATAATAATTTTGAAGCATCCAGATGGGCTGATACTTTAACTTATGGGTGGTTCATATTTCACTGCAGTTTTTGTTTCTTGTAAACATCAGTGTGGATGCATGCCATTTTTGCACAGTCATTTCAAGGGATGGAGCAGGTGTGTTCATATAGGGAGAGAGTAATTTAAGAAGACTGCCTGATATGAAACAGGTATGGTAATTTATTGATATGCTACTTTCAAAATTCTTCGTCAAATGTGAGCCTCCTATGACATATACTTGAAAGTTATTATATTTTATTTCAATAAATAACAAATTATTATATTTTATTTGGATATGCATGAGATGTTAATTGTTGTTACAACCTGTCTCCGGAGGCCAAAATTCGCTTATAGATTTTAGAATCATTTTAAAAATATCTCCGTTATCATTTGTACACCGCCACAATTTGTTCCATTACAGTATACTGATACGCATGCGCAGTTTTCCGTCCAGTCCAAGTCCATATATTCGACTCTCCCGTTTTGTGTCCCAATAACCAATAAGTACCAAATTTAATGTTGGTAGGTCTCTAAAACATGTAATTTGTTAATCAGCATACTCATCATCTTAGTATATTATGTAAGTTTCAAAGATAAAAAATTACCATGTTCAGGTGTTTGAAGAGAGATACTTTTTTAGAGTTAAATATGTGTATGTGTGTGTGTGTTGCATGTGTAGGCAACATTTCCAGGATTACTATCTTAGTATAAATACATTTTTATATTTTACATCTTTCTTTCTAGGGATAATTTTAATAATTCAACTACTCACCAAAAGATCTCTCTAAGTGATGCTGTGTTACCAATGAATGAATGTATAGCAAATTTAGGTGCATTAACATGGGTCTGCATTTTGGTAGCTGTGATATTTTGGATCCTTCGTGCAATCAAGGTTATGTACCATCTGTTCCATTTTTGGGATATTAAGCAGTTTTTTAACACAGCGCTTAAGGTAAATGATGTAAGTACAGAAATTTTATTTATTTAAACTGCATAATGTGATTTAATACATGTCGCATGTCAAATGGACGGTCCAAAAGTTTCCGGGCTAAGGCAATAAGAACTAAAAAAAGAAGGCGGATATTTTTTTTCAGTTTATTTACTCAAAATAGGATCCATTTGATGCAATGCACTGGTTAGCACGTGTTTTCAACTTATTCATGGCATTGGAAAAGTCTTCTGCGGGAATCACTTGTAGCTTGTCGGTCACTGCTTTCTGAATCACCTTAATTGTGTCAAATCTTGCACCCTTTAGCTGAAACTTCACCTTCGGGAACAGGAAATAGTCCGCTGGAGCCAAATCTGGTGAGTGGGGGGGGGTTTGTTGTAACGTCACGACTTGTTTTTGCGCTAGAAACTGTTGAATCATTGCTGCCGAATGAGCCAGGGCGTTGTCGTGCAGGAGAAAAAAATCACGAGTGCGGTAAAGGGCGCGGCGAATTCGTCGAATGCGCAAAATTAGGCGGTTTAACACACCTTTATAATACTCTGCATTCACAGTGCAACCTTCTTCCACGAAATCTTTGGTAGAAAAGCAGTAAAAAATTCAGTCCGGGAACTTTTGAACCGCACTGTGTATATTTGGTACTTAGCTTTTTGTAGATATCTGCCAGCCCTCACCAATAAGGAACAGAAAGCAGATTACACGGTTACCAGACTGAACTCACATTATTACTTTGCACTTTGATAGGATTGTATTTTGCTTATATTTGCAAATTAGGTGTGTGCTGTCATCATGCTATGGAATTTTACAGTTTTAGTGTACAGTAGTATCTTGTGTGACAGGTGTCGTCCCATCTTACTGTATTTTGAGTTAAACTGTTCTGGCAATTAATACGGTTTATTTCAGGTTCTAATTGATAGTCCAAAAAATCGTCACAGACATTTGCAACCCTGTCTCTTGGTTCAAGAGCATTGTTACAGTAAAATGATATGCATATCATGTGTACATCCTGTACAGTATGTGTATGAAATGATTTTTAATTGATTTTGAAAACACTCCTCCACCCTGTTATCTTCCACAATGAAATACTAAATAATGCTATTAAAGTAATGTACTATATTCAGAAATATTTTGCTTTTAGATACCTTGTATATATGCTCTTCTTTTCAGAGTGATTTAGATAATTTGACGTGGCATGAAATCCAGCGCAAAGTGCGAGAAGTGCAGCTAGAACAGCAGATGTGTATTCATAAACGTGATCTCACCGAGCTGGACATCTATCATAGGATTCTCAGGTACCATATTTATGTAACTTCATGGGTACCACTTTTTCCTCAATTCAGGTTGGTCAGTCCTTGCCCTGATGGAGGGATTCCAAAGAGTCCTTTGAACTTTCATTTCTTTCATCTTGGCTTCTGCCATTTTCCTGTGTCACCAATTTGTTTTATTTTATGTAAAGTGTTGACATTTGGGAATGGCCACTGCTGTTGTGTTCTTTAAGTCTATAATCAGCCATTTGATTGTGCCAGTGTCAGTTACATTAAGGTACAGTTTATTTTGGTTTTTCTCTCAAATAAATGTGTAAATAAAGTCCATGTGTTTGTTATTGTCACAAGGAATGGTTTAGAACCATAGGTTGTTCTGGGGTACGCGAAATTTAAAAAAAAATTATGATAAACACTGAATAATCAGTAATGTAATTTATTTAATTTATGTTTGATGTAGATTATATACTATGTATAACTTGAATTATACACCAACAACTTTGGGGATACAAAGTTGAAGAGAAATTATATCTGGGGGTATGTGAACAAAAAATATTGAATACCACTGGTTTATATCATATGTTAAAAATGAAGCTAGTGCTCAAGAAACTTAATGCAGATAGAAATGTTAAATTAGTGAAGAAAAGTATTTTAAACATATCAGTTCACTACTTTGCCATTATTTGGTTGCCAGGTTTAAGAACTACATGGTAGCCATGGTTAACAAGTCCTTGCTTCCTGTTAGACTGCATCTACCTTTTCTTGGAGAAGTTGTATTCCTCACTAGAGGCCTGAAATACAACATCGAGTTGCTGCTTTTCTGTAAGAAACTACTACACTTACAAAAATTAGTTATTGCATGTTGAAGTCTTTGTATTTTTACTGTTTAATTACATGTGTAAAATTGCATATTTAATCACTGAACATTATGAAATATTTGCTGTTTACTCTGATAATAATACAAAATCTATAAATACCCTCTGTGGACAAAATACAGAGTTATTTGTTGTTAAACCATGTGATACATATTTTACCATTGGACTTTAAAGGGTCAGGTTCACAGAATGCTTCTCTGGTAAAAGTGGTATAGTAATTGGTGTGTTTCCTCTGTCACAAAACATTGGCCAAGAAATGTTCTATTTTGTGGATGCCACACAATTATTAGTCTCTTAATACACTAAATAACTAATAATTTAAAACTTACTTTACATGCAGTTTGTGAGAACTATTATACATGTTCAAAAGAACAGAATTTTTACAAGTGATTACTGTCAGAAACATATACAAATGTTTAGTAATTGCACGTATACCACGTACATCTTACATGAATTCTGTAACTTATCTTGAAACTCATATTTTCTGTTGATAAGTTATAAGGACAACTTTGGACTTCAGGATTCTTTGTGGTGGATGGTGCATCTCCACAAAATAAATGCATCTCGGATGGAGAGCATGTTGCTTTAATAATGTAGAACTGTGTAATAGGGTGAGATTATGATAGTAAAGGTGAATAAAACTAAATGATTTCTGCTTTTGAAATATTTTAATGTTGAATCCATACTCTCTGTACATTCAAGTTCTCATATACACCGTGGTTGCCAGATACACATTTTTCCAGAAGTTGTTAAATTGTTAATTTTTCTTGATTCATGATCTCCTGTTTGTATATGAATGCTAAGTAAAAATAAACTTGCAGTTGGACAGATGCAGTAAATCACTATCATGATTCAAGTGTGTTTAAACTAATTTCTATATATGGCGTGTTAAGATTACTTACAGTGATTTAGTCTTACTGTGATAGTGTTTTCCATACAGATTTTGTGTCTGAATGAAAAAATATGCAGCATCTCACAGGGTGCTGGTGTCTGCTTATTCTGAGACATTTTGGGTCATAGATTTTTTTTATTATGAGTAGTGAAAACATTATCTTTCAGTATGTGGTGTATTGCAATGTAATGTCACTTGTTTCCTGCAGGGGGACCATGGGCGCCATTTGAAAATAACTGGCATCTGAAAGAAGACTATAAAAAAGGCGGCAGACGAAAAGATTTAGCCCAACATTTATCAAAGCATATATTGTGGGTTGGAATTGCAAATTTTTTATTGTGTCCACTCATTTTGCTGTGGCAAATCCTGTATTCTTTCTTCAGTTATGCAGAGGTTGGTACACTGATTTTGGTACTATGCTGAAAGTGAAATTGAGATCAAGTTCATAGAAGGCATTTGTTTTTAGCACACATTTTTTGCTGCATCAGGAAAAGTGGAGTTATAATTTGTTCCATTGTCATTTGGCTGTAGAAATGAAATATAGGAATGATGTAGCCATTGATATTTTTCATTATACTATTTTAGGTATAAATATCAGGTTTTAAAACTTGCATATAAATATTTGCAGGTTATAAAAAGGGAACCAGGTAGCTTGGGTTCACGCTGCTGGTCCCTTTATGGCAGACTGTATCTTCGTCATTTCAACGAATTGGATCATGAACTGAATGCACGTCTGAATCGTGCGTATAGGCCAGCATCCAAGTATATGAATATTTTCACATCTCCTCTTATGACCATTATAGCACAGTAAGTAGACTGAAGTACCCATATAGAACTGAAATTTTGCACAAGAGTGCTTAAATTACCTGCATAGTTTTGTCGTGGTCAAACGTACTGAACCATTTATGCAGTATTACTTGCACTGAACAAGCAAGCTACTTTGATATCTGAATTATTATTTTTTCTACGTTAGTAGCTTGCATCGTGAATTATTAATGACAGTTTAAGTTTTGAGGAAGTTTTTATACTAGAGTTATTTGCCTTTTAACACCTGTGCTCAGTACTTTTGTATGGACAAACAGACAAACTAATGGATACAGAGAAGATATTGGTATATCAGTGGTTTAGTACCAGGTTGGGATTGCAGAATAGAAAGGTTTGGAGCTACTGACATCAAATAATTAGTCCAGTTAAAAATGCGAGTAAATATTGTAACATAAACACTTATAATTTCCCAGCATCTAACCATACATATGCTGTAGTGTACCATTTCACTTCTGTGAAATTTGAATTCTATCACTTATGCTGTTTGTTGGGACACAGATGCTAAATGCTAGAACTTTATACAGTGAAACCTCGATGCATCGTTTTTGGCGAGGGTGGGAAATAAAAACTATAGTTGCGGGAAAGCATTAAAATTTTTAAAAAAACTGAATGTCTCTCTTTCAAAGTTACTTCTTTTTACCAAAAAAGTCTTTAATAGACAACTGGTTTGTCGAAACTTTACGTTTTAGGCCAAACAGAGCCTTTTCCACGTTCAAAATGTTTTCCTCGTCACGTTTACTAATATTATGCGCATAAAAGAATGACTTCACTTTTGCCAATGCAGCATGTGCTTCGGCAAAACTCGGCATAGCGTCAGGCTCGCATTCTTCGTCTTCCTCTTCGTCACCACTCCCACCCCCTTCGCGAACAATAACAGGAAGAATGGAAATACTATTACTGCCGAACTCAACGTAACATAGCTGTAGAAGACACTGAACCACTGGAAACGAGATGAACCAGAAGAATGAAAAGTGTCGCCCGCCTTTCCTTTGTACTTGTAATAAAAGCATTTGTGAAGAAATTCACACTGCACATGCCATCTGGCATCGCTGGAACGAAATATGAGTGCACCCTAATTAAACTCATAAAATTTCTGACAATGAGCACTGCCATTCACTCCAACTATCACCCCTGCACCGAGGAACGATAGAAGCGGGAAAATGTAACATTATTTTATATGGGATGTATCCGGGACCGAACAAAATGGACGATGCATCCAGGAAAACGATAGTTCGGGGAACGATGGATAGAGGTTTCACTGTAGTACAGTGGTCTTTCTTCAACTGATCAAGAAATTCTCTCTTGTTAAACTGCCATAAGAGGTATGCCAGTGGGATTACAGAAGCCCACCTTAGGGCCATATCCTACCTAGTTTAGTCAGATTACACCTGAAACTGTTTCCTCAAGATAAATTTTAATATTATCTTTTCGTTTGTTTCTGTGTCTTCCAAGTTGTGTGTTCTCTTGAGATTTACCTGTCACAATTCCCCATGCATGCTACATATCCTGCTGATCCTTCTTGATTTAATATGAGGATTGCAAATTATGAAGATCCTCATTGTGTACCCTTCTCCATTCCTTCATTACTTTATTCCCTGAGGTTCGTATACCCTCTTCAGCACTGCTTCCAATCTGTTTTTTTCCCTTTGGGTGACAGATCATGTTTCCTACCTGTAAAGCAATGGAAGCAATTGTGCTTTTATATATAGGACAGTTTTTGGAGAGGTGAGGGGAAGATTAGGAAATCTGTATTGTATGATAGCAAGCATTCTGTGAAGTTCAGTTTGTTGTTGTGATATGTACTTGGATCAAAAAGTTGAGCTGAGACTGAGAGTGTGTTCCTTATGTTACAGAAATGTGGCATTTGTGGCTGGTGCATGTCTTGCTGTATTACTGATCCTGTCTGTATATGATGAAGATGTTATAACAGTTGAACATGTATTGACAGCCATTACAGTACTGGGAGCAATTGTGGCTGGAAGCAGGTGATGTGACTCAACAGAAGAAAGTGGATGATATTTCTTAAGTACAACTGAGTCCCAATTATCCAACCTAAATAGGATCGAAGGATGGTCAGATAATGAAAAGTGTTGGATAATATTGAAGATTAATGAGAAAGACAATTTATTTTATAACTTTATTTATGACATTACTAAATTATGAAGAAAATACAGTGTAGCATCAGATTAAAAAATCTGACAGACAGAAATTGTATATAACATAATGTAAATTGTAAATGAAAGAGTTTATTTTTTTAAGAAATTAGTAATAGGTATTTGCTTTTGAGCCTCCTTCCTTTTCTTTGTGGTAAGGTCACACCAGCACCTGAAGAGTGGTATGTCTGTAGCTACCGAGTACATAAAACGTAGCAGGTACATGGCGGGGGAGTGTAATTGATTCTGCTACATGGTGAATTGACTGTTGATAAAATGGAGCTTTACAATATGGCACATCTGATAAACCAGAATGTCAGATAACCTAAGGTTGGATGATTGGGACTGTGTAACTTTAGCAATGCAGACTCAGTTCTTACAGGAGTGTTTTTCCACACAAGTGAAATGGTTTGGAATAGCTCAGTCACTTTTGTAACTTGAGGTGTGCTGACAGCCTCTTTTTTGTGGCTGTGTGGATCTCACATTTACATAGCAGCGTTATTTTTTTTTCTGGGAGTAGGACATCTGATGACAATATGTAAAAGTTTTTGCCTGTATGAAATATAATTTTTTCTGTAAGATATTGCAGGATATATGTGTTTTTAAAGTTGTGCCAACTTGTAGGTAGCGTTGTTATGTTGAGTGGAAGCCGTGTCTTCTTTTAGATATAAACAGATTGTAGCAAATGCCATTAGTAAACTGTTTCATCCACATTCTGAAATTTAAGATGAAAATTGAGGTGGGAAGTATCCTAAAAAATAAAGTGAACAATATTTTCGAATCTATTTATACGGCCAAAGTATTTTGGACTAACAAAAATTACACAGCAATAGAATTACATTATAAATGAAAGTTCTACAAGAAACATACATTGTAGTTGAAGATTGTGAAAGAAATGTAGCAAGCTACAAGAATATGAAAAGCTAGGAACAGTGGAGTTAAGGTATACTGTACACCAGTGGTCCCCAACGTGGCGCCAGCCAAGGATTTTTTTGGGTGCCCGCATTGTTACGGAAAGAGGTTATACTGAATATTGAAGGCCGTTCAACCATGAACGTTATAAAATCAAAGCACAGATCTCGACTTACTGATGCCCATCTTGACGATTGTTTGCGAGCAGCAACATCATCCTACACTCCCAAATTTGAAAAACTGGCCGATGAAATGCAGCGCCAAACATCATACTAACTTCCCACTTGAGTAATAATAATTGTACTTATAAAACTATGTATTTTTGATTGAATGGTTTCTTGTATCATTAAACATCATGTTGTTTTGTGTATTATTTGGTGTCCATATCTTATTTGTCCAGAGAAAAGAAAATTTGGCTTTGTTAATTGGTTGGTGCCCGCCATGATCTCATAAACTCTCAAATGTGCCCGTAGGCACAAAAAGGTTGGGGACCACTGGTCTACAGGTTGTATGGCTGAGGTTTGATATTGACAAGGCAGAGAATTTTATCCTTGCTGTCATATCTGGCAGTAGGTTACATAGCAAAAAACTATGTATAGTGTGTCTCTGAGAACAAAATAAAAAAAAGACATGATATGGAGATGGTACTTAAGAAAATGTAAACCTATCATTGTATTTGCTGTGGAGGTGCTTGGGAAAGTGGAGCTGTAGATCGTACTTGTTTTTGAACTCAGCACTAAGTAGGGGTGAGTGATCAGTGTCACACTTTGGTTGTGCTTTACTCCCAGGGAAAGAACTCCGGATACCCATTGGATAGGAGACTGGGCTATCCTCAGGGCTTGTCTGTATGCAGAGGCCAGGAAAAAAATCCTCCTGCCAGGGATCAAACTCTGTTTGTCCGATCCATAGTTGGACACTATACAAACTGAGCTACCCCACCCAGCTCACTTTAGAAAACAAGTTACATTATTTTTTGTGGCATATGCCAAGTTCAATTAAAGAGCAACTATTCGTAGGCATTTTGTAATATTCCTGGAGAAATGTAAAGACTATAACTATGTGAATGGGATAAGAATGTATTTTTTTCATGTTTGTGCTTTGAAATAGGGTGTTTATACCAGACGAGAATTTGGTGTGGTGTCCAGAGAAGCTTCTGACTGCTGTGTTGGCACATGTCCACTATCTGCCTGACAGCTGGAGAGGACAGGCCCATACAAACAGAGTGCGTGAAGAGTTCTCTCAGCTGTTCCACTACAAAGCAGTAAGTCCTCTCAGTAGTACTAAACAATGCAGAAGAATCTTATTACAGTAAACCCTTGATTTAATGGATTTCAGTACAAGTTCCACAGTAGAGTTTGATTTGCAACTGCCACTGCCAGCTGTGCAAGGGGTTACTGATGTTTTTGTTCCATGGCTGGAGTACCAAGTTGAGCACTCTCCCTCATCTTGTGCCAGGTTTTAGAATGCATGGGGCCTACCTCCATGCCTCCTATTCACCTTCAAGGGCAGCTTTATCATTCCTGTGTTGCATTTTCATATACTGAGAGCAATTTCCTGTATATGTGTAGGTTTATCTGCTGGAAGAACTGTTGTCCCCAGTTATTACTCCATTCATCCTCTGTTTCCACTTACGCTCAAAATCTCTGGACATCGTTGATTTCTACCGCAACTTCACAGTAGAAGTGGTGGGAGTGGGGGATGTCTGCTCATTTGCGCAGATGGATGTCCGCCGCCATGGCAACCCGGCATGGCAGACTAATTTAGCGTCTCCTCCTGGTCCAGCTGAACTGATGCAACATGGGATGCACACAGTTGTTGACCAAGATGCGCAGGTAAAAATATATTTCCCCAGTCTGCAGAAAGGAATGTATGGAAGACTTTAATTTCAGATCAGCATTTGACTTATAATCTTCCAACCTTTGCATTATTGCTGTTAACACTAATGATCTGTATGAAGTTGTGGTTGCATTGTCTGTGCCTGTGAACTTCAACGTTGTGTGGGTATTACAACCATGGCTCACTGTAGACTAACAACAGAAATCAGGCCAGTGGACATAAAGCTAAGTACTTAATTTAGATAATACACCAACTCTTGTGCAATTGTGGTATTACATAAAGTATGGTTTTGTAAAGTGCAACCTTTTATGTTTTATAACAAACCATTGTCTTATGAATTGTATGATTTAATATGAATTAATTTGTTTGCCATTGATGATCACCTCTTGAGGTCGAAACACATTTGTCACTAAGTGTCTTTTCAAGTGTAAACAGTTTTATTTGACTGCATGATTTTTGTACATCAATACACTGCATCGTATGCAAGGCTTCAAGATGTACATATAGTATGAACCCAAATCTTGTTGTAGGAAATTTGATGTTTATGGTATTCCATAAAGTCTATCACAGATTGATGAGCTTTGTGACTTTTAGAGTTTTTGATGTGGACAGATAACTCAAATAACTACGTGATGGAAGTTGTAAAATATGTGCAGAAATGTAAAATTCATGTTCTTTAATATTTACATATTTTTTAAATCTAATTTATGGAGTTCCTAATGCCCCCAACTTTGCTTAAGTTGTAGAATTTATCATTTGAACTAATTGGACATCTATTTATAAACAAGTGCACAAAGATAGACCTTGTGCCAGAGATATAGACAAGTTGCACTCCTTGGAATACAGCTGTATGGATTTACTATAACAGGCAATCGATTTCACTGTATCAGAATTGTCATAAACTTCTAGAATCTAAATTTCATACAGAAAATTATAGTTTACTTTTATGGTCAGTTTTCTCTGCAACATTTATTGTATGGATATACATCAGAAATGGATTGCAGTTGAAACCAATGCACTGTATAAAATGTATGTTTTCAGGCAGAGGATGGAAAAACAGAACTCTCATTGGTCCATTTTACATTGACCAATCCTGAGTGGCAGCCACCTGCAGATGCAGAAAATTTTGTTGCAGCCCTTCGATCACAAGCAAGAAGAGATGCAAATCAGCTGTTAGGCACTACAGGTGTTGGTGCTGTTAATCCACTTTACTCATCACTGCATTCAGTGTCATCCCTTGGGGCAGGGGTATGTATTTGGAGCCAGCTTTTATTATTTTAGAAGAAACAATGGGCTTTTGGTATTTTGTATGTGTCCATCCATTCCTCTTTTTTCCTTACTTTCATGAAATGGGTATGAATGTCATATCATTGATGGATATTTCACATGCATACTTCTCTTACTCTGTAATTGTTGTATGAATTTGTCTGTTGTGTGAATGCCTGAAGTAGAAGTAATGAGTTATTTCGTGCAGGTTTGCAAGCATGTGTTACTGCTAATATGTAAAATAATTCTTTTGGACTTCGTCTGTCATCTAAATTATATCATAAAATTATCTTCTTCTTTTTCTGGTTTAACAATGTTTGTACATTTTCTGGTACCGTTTATGGGTCCCCAACTTTTTAGTTGGCTTGATCTATGGACATTCGGTAGGACTCCTTGGACGAGGGATCAGCCCGTCGCAAGGCCTCTACCTATTTACAGGACAGCACAACACAGAAAAACATCCATGTCTTGAGTGGGATTTGAACCTATGGTCCCCGCGACCAAGCGGCACAAGACCCACGCCTCAGACCGCACGGCCACTGCGGACTATCATAAAATTATAAAAATGTTAAAACTACAACATTTCAGAAGTTGGATTCTGCTTCTGAAGACAGGTTAGCTGAACCATGGAGCCTAACATGTAGGCTTTCTGTCCTCTTCCCTCTCTTGTTCCTGGAGAAGAGGCAAAATCCAGTTTCTGAAATGTTACAGTTTTATAATTTTATAATTTGTATAGTGAATGAAATCCAAAAGAACAATTTTGCATATAATGCACCATCATCGGAAACCTTCAGACTTCATTAATGTGTTACTTCTGTTATTGATTACAGTTCAGCAGTCTTGTGGCAAGTGTATTCCGAGGTAACACAGCTGCTTTGGCAGCTGGAGGACTGATGGATTCATCCGTGGGAATGATGCCTCTGTTTTCTACTGGTACTGTACTGAGCAACATGGGTTCTGGGGCAGCAGGAGATAGACTTCATGGTCTTGCTGAACCCATGGTATTTTCCCCTACTGTACGTGGTGGATTGAGTCGTGCTGAAGGACCAATTCACTCTTCAGACCGGGGATTGTTGTACAGGTACATAATCTTTCTTGTGACTTTGTTCAACACCGAGCATAAACATTTCAACCCAACAAAGCTATTGTAAAACAATGAATTATGTATAATTTTGGTGATGAAACCTTGGAAGTGGTCTCTTGAAACAGTACAACTAGTGATTCATGAACTACTGCTGTTTCGTGATGTAATTTATATCAGTCTGTAAATTGCAGATAGTGTTAAACTGTACATTTTTCCACAGCTGAAAAAATTATAATTTGGCAAGTGAGTAGTTTTATTATCTTTTGATTCTTTTTACTCACTAAGTAGTTTGTATTGAAACTGCATTTTTGTGCAAATTCACACTGGGTGAGCTAATTATGACTAATTTTCTTTTTGGTACATATTGTCAGAAAATTTTCAAGAACTTTAATTCTTTCATCAGTATAAACTGTCATCCATAATTTTAAATTGTTATGATCAGTATGGCTTGACCATCATATAAAGGCATTAATTATAAAACTGGAAGAAAGCATATTTAAATGTAGACTTTCTTATTAGCATCAATGATCATTGGAGTTTTACTGCCACTGTGGTAGTTCATTCTGAGATTTGGGCATAATGTATTAAATATGGCAAAATATTTTTATTAAATATTGTATGTGCATATGCACACTGTTTGAAATTTTGTCTGGCAGATTTATTCAAGACTTCAGAATTGTTATGATGACTAAACTTTTTGTTTATGCTAAGTTATGTCAAATATTTTCAAGGGATAAAAGATTTATTTAAAAAAAACACTTTTATTGAAAGCTTACTTTTAAAAACAAGCAATGTACTGTGATGAATGAGAATTTAAATATATTTAAAGTTTGAAAATACTGTTGTAAGTAACAGTTTGTTTCCAGTTAATCAGTTCTTTGTCTCTTAGGAACATTATAAAGTGAATACCTACTAATTGATTTGAAGTTCAGCTTAAAAACATGTGATTCAGATTCCATTCTGGTTAGCTGTCTTGAATATCTCTTGCCATTGCATGTGCCAGCACTGAATTAATCCTTAACTGAGGTAAACACGTGCACATGTGTGTGTACGTGTGTATAGTGTGTAATGTATTTAACTGTCTGTGCATACAAGATGTAAGTGATGCTAGTGGAAGAAAGACTTTTTTTAGAATAATTTGTTTTTTCCAGATATAAAATATTTATAGCATAAAGTTATATCTAAAGGAGATAATTGAAAATTATGGAATTAATAGAATGCTGTAGTTACTTGGAACCATTTTTAAATCTGGATATTCTTTTCAGTTTGCAGCAAGGATTGCCCACAAACTCTGTAGGAAATTCTATGTTTGGGACGGGGCCAGACATGGTTCCAGAGACAGATCCTCTGGAGTTCACTGCTGCAGATATGAGCCTCAGCACTTTATATCTGCATGAACTGCACCACCGTCAGGTACTGGAGATACAAATGCCTCCTGTTCTCACTGGCTTCTACCCACCTGAGCAGAGTGTGCCTATGGAACCTACAGCTTAATTCATGCACTCATCCACTGTGAGGCCTGCTGTTTTCCACTTTACAAAATTTTGATTTTATCTGATGTAAGAGATGGATATGTTATGTAGAAAAGCACGCTCGATCTTCCTGGTATCAGACTTGAAATCTTTGTCTGTGGGGTCCAGTGCCTTAGCCTATATCAGCATGGTCCAGCTGGCAGTCCATGGTCCACATCTGGCCCAAGACAACTTCAAACCAGACCTGTGAATTATTTGTTAGCTTGCTACTAGTTACTAGAAGGCTTTTCTCTACTCCAAAGGATTTAAGAAAAAATGTGACTCTTATCTCATCTGCTGCTTAACATACACATGCCACATTTGCTAGTTGACTTTAAAACCATACTCTGAAGTGTAAGTTTTATAGGCAAAAATTGTGTCAGCAGGAGAAATTTGAAATATGTAATTCTGTAGTAATTTGTTCTCATTTCAATTATATTTATATTTGAGAATCTAGGCTTTTATGTTAATTTGTTATTTATCATTAATTAATATTAAAGGTAATGAAAATTGGGTATTGGTCTTCAGAAATAGTGCCAGGAGGGGTTTTTGGCCATTGGGCACAAGGGAAGAAAGATCATCCTGGCCTGTATGATTACAAGAGAAGTAATTTTAAGCTTTTTTTTTATTGATACAAATTTATGTGTTCACTGTTGGTTACAAACAGAGCCTCAGATTGTCTATATTATTTGTCAGGTACACCGCAGAGGCTACCAGGACCCTGGTTTGAGCCGGTCTGTGTGGCAGAGGCCTCACCAAGATATGCCTGGTATCAGGGAACTTGGTGATGAATCAGGGGATATGACTCGACATGCAGAGAGAACTCCTTTATTAGATGCAGCCACTAAATCTGCAAGGACTTCATAGCAGGTTGTGAGATAGTTTCAAATCAAAATGTTAGTTTAATGACAGTGTTTTAAACATGACAAAGGAAAGTGCCAGACAGTTAATCATAAAGAACAAGATATTATGTGAAGTCAGGTAGAATCCCAATGAAGCACTTGGTGATAATGGGACATAATGATCAGCATTGCTTCAAGGGGATCCCATGTCAGCACACTTGAAGATTCAAAGCTGCAACAACGAGATTGCCAATTAAGAAAGATGTCTTTATAGGAATTACCATATTTTCATGCAAAATTTTTATATTTTCAATATTTATTTTACTATCAAAAAGTTAGAGAAAGTCCCTGTGTTTTGTTAAGCACCATACCATAATTTTAAGTAGCACAGTTTGAAACTATTTTACATTTGTCCCATATAATATAAGAAATGCAAATCATCATACTATTTGCAATTGTTAATATATAAAAATTTTAATGAAATTTTATGTGTGTTTATTATTTGTCTTCATTCAAAATTTTATATAATTGGCTCCAGTGGTTCATTCATTATAACCATCACATCAAAAGCTAGATATAGGTTTTGCATGGTTGCCAGGTTTTGGAACAAATGTTGCATACTTCTCAGAGATCTTTAACTAACTAACGAACTTTGTAATGTGTAACTTTGGCTTTTGCATGTGAGCCATATCTGATGTTGAGTATTAACCAAAATTTTGGAAAACATTACATTTTCCGTCTTCATGATGAATATATGTTGGGATGAGTTTTGAAAGCCTTGATGTAGGGTAGGCCATAAGTAGCAAGTGAGATTTTATGGTGATGATTGGTGGAGTGGAGGAGTGGGCCATTGCCTATTGCCTAATGGGAGAGTAGCATATGGGAAAATGTTTTATGGATACATGGTGAGAAAAGGAGGTGATGGAAGAGGTTCTGTGACTGTGTTAGGTGGGAACTGATTTCCAGTGATTATGTAGAAAGGACTGGAGGTGAATCTTAGAACATGACGTTTGGAGGAATGTCCTTATCTGTTATAGAAGTCAGAATTGTATTACTGCACCCACAAGAGCCAGCCATAGTACCCTACTCTGAGCCAGGTGAATCCGGGTCACATTCAGAAACCCTTCTTCATTAGAATACTTTTTTAATGTCCTCCCAACAACGCCCAGTTCATCCAAGTCATCTCATTCTTTCAGGTATTCATATTGCAATTTTGTATGAGTTTCTTATCTGTCTCGTACATGCTATATGCCCTGCTCATCTCTACTGCCTCTTTTTCAGCCTAAAATATTTTGTGAAGAGTACATATGACGAAGTTCTCATTAAACAACTTTTTCCAGCCCACTGTCATTGTTTTGGGTTCACATATTGTCCTTGGCAGCATGTTGTTGGGCATTCTCTGTTTGTTTTACTCTGGTAGAAGCAAAGACTTGATTCCCCATAAAGAGTAGATAATCTAAATATTAAATTTATAAAAAGCCTTTTTGTTGGGTGTTGGCTATGGTGTTAAAATATAGTTCCTGTGAAATAGTCTGTACTGCTTTACTGTTATATTTTTTCTTAAGTACAGTCAAGTTCCTAAATGGAATTCTCTTGATTTTAGTAGATGAAGGTCTTTTAAACTAATACTGCTTCATGTTGGTGCTATAACTCAGATGTTCTTGAAGTATATTGTATAATAATGTTGTTAAGTTGTGTAAAACAGAATAGAAATATATTTTGGGTTAGTGCTTCCTAGCCTGAATGTACATGCTGGTTCTAACAGCAGTGTGTTATGGGAAATAATTTTTTTCTTTTAATTTTCGGTGTGAAATTAATTTAAAAAATCCTTTCAGAATTATGATATACTGGTGCCTTGCATGTAACTTAAAAGACTTTTACATTACTACCATTTAGGAACTATGGAAGTTATTAGCCAGGATTTCTAAGTCTCTAAAGTGACTAGTTTCTTACTGATTTGTAGAAAGGAAGAAACTTTTCAACTTATTGATGTTGTCACACCCCTAACAGTTGAGGGAGGTACATATTTAAGAGCAGTGCAGTAACAGGATTGTCTTACCAACCTTATGCCAGGAAATGTGGTAATTCCAAACTTTGTACACATACATGGTGGAAATTTTTCTATTAATATTACAACTTGTTTGATTTGTAAGCCTTCAGACAATTTATGCCACTCTTTATGGCCACAGTAACACTTGTTTATGAATTGACTTTCTCGTTCCAGTAATGCTGTTAATTTGACAAAGAATAGGAATCTCCACATGCTGATTTTGTCATTACAAACTGACTGTGAATCTTATGTATACATTTGTATACTTTGTTACTGTCACTGAGATACTTGGTATCTGTAAGATTTCTTTCATGTGGACAACACTTCTTATAAATGCTAAATCTATTTATCACAGAGTGTATCACAACCTTATGAAGAGTTGGTGTGAGTTAAATTTTTAATAAAGGGAAAGGACAGAAATAATAAGAAAATGCTGTCTTTCACATTTTACAATAGTAGAAAATATCAAATGCATCATATCAAATGTGTGTTCTCATTTCCTATACAAGAGAACAACTTTTTTATATTCTTTGTGATACTTATAATATAAATTATAAGAAGACAAGGATTGTAAGAATTTACACTAAAGGGATCTTGTATTTAATTACATTATTCTAATTTGTGTTATATCACACTTAACACAATTTTGTTATTTTTCACCTATTTGTTGACATCAATTAGAAATATTAAGTAGAAACAGGTTGCCGGGGTACAGACTGTCCTTGTGATACCTTCAGTTTGATGGTAGTTTAAAAAATTTCAAACCTTATACATCTTACCTTTAAACAGCATGATTATTCTATTTTAATTTAAATTTAAGATATAATTATAATAATATAATGCAGTACTGGGTTTTTGTATCAGTATATTAGCAGTGCTTGAAAAGATGCAGATGCATAGAAATTGATTTAGTCCTAATGTTAAATTACTAATCTTTTTGTATGATCTGGTTTGTTTTACTTTTCCACTTCACACCTTGACTACACAAATGAGGTTGTGATAAACGTGTGGCCTTTGCATAAATTGGCAGTTTCTAACGACTTACTAGTATATGTCATTAATAATATTTTAAATAGTCATCACTTTGCAAATTTTCCCTTTGTTTTACAAATTGTAAAGCTGCTTTGTGGTCATTCTATATGAAGAACACTTATGTAATGAAGACAGAAAATTTGGTCCCCTGAATTTTTCTGTGTGGAGGTTTCGCTGTGTGTTGGTATGACTTTGTTTGAAGGAGTTCCGTTTGGATGCCATATGTGTAAGTGGTCATTGGTTTGATATGCTGTGTAGTTCTAGTCATTCATATTAAACTAACCTCAGAGTTTGTGGATTGAAATGCCTAATGGCATTTAGTGATGTTAGAACTGACATTTGTGTACAATACATTTTTTAAGTTAACTGAATTCTTATGCTTGGAATTTTCTAGCAGAGCAAACATTAAACTGAAAGAAAATACATTAAGCAACATTGTTTATGCATATAAATTTGCCGCTTGATGGGATTTGGGTTTGTCATGGCGATGAGTACAACAATGTCTGTCTTCTGGGTTGTAGCATCATGTAGTTACCAACATTTCAGAGGTCATTTCTGACTCCATTATCAGGGTACCTGGAGGCAGCAAGGACTTCTGAAATGTTGGTAAACTACCAGACTACATGACACTACAACCCAGCAGACAACCATCTGTGTTACTTGATGTTTGTGTGACTTCAGAATGCTATATTTCTGTCATTATGTCAAGGAATTTACATACATCTACCTGACTACAAGATTACTCTCCTTTACACGGAAGATTTTTAATTAAACATAGTTTTATTACTTGTCCAGTTACAATTCATATGCACAATTGTGTGGCACCAACATAACTGTTTTCCCATGTCTACAAATAGTTTTATGTTAGGTCTAACAGAATGCTTTTCTGGTAAAACTTGCAGTTGTTATTAGCCTCTTCAGCACACCTGATGACCATTAATTTAAAACTAACATCACATACATGATTTCTGAAACTTAAACTTTATATATTGTAAACCCTTTAATCCTTTGAAGCACAAATCTCTTACATATCATTTTTAAAAATTCATTTTTATCCTCATGGAAGACATAAAGCTTCTCTGTTACAAACATCAATTGGTTAATACTCTTTAAGGAAATAATCACTGTTTATTCTGAGAAATTATAAATACACCCTGTAGCCAAAATGGGAAGTTTTAATGTTAAAGCATTTTGTACTTGTAGTTACCATTGTGCTTTGAAGGGTTAAAAATGTAACTTGAAATTAATATCCTCAGTTATTTATAAATGTTCAGTAGTAGTACATGCTTCATATATATATGTTGTACCTGAAACCAGTTCTTAGCAATCACCAAAAGGTGCACTGGACATCCTGAGAATACACCTTCTGGCAACTGTGACATACCTAGAAACTCTGATGTTCATAGAATATTAATACAAGAATATTTTTGAATAATACCTGTGCTTCCAACATAATTTTCTTTTGTTGAGTAGTATCAGACATTGAATACAGGGATTCAAATTGGATGTCATGTCATTCCAGAATGTTTTCTGAGGTCAGGGCTGTAGCGACAAAAATATAGAATGAGATAAATTTCCAATAAGTATGGCAGTAATAGTAATAAAAGCCTAATAGTTACAGCTTTTAATCACATTAGTGCAACTTTTGAGATACACCACAGTTTCCAGAGGCCTGTCTCTCTTCCCACAATATTGAATCATGTTGTGGTTTTTTACACATTTATTCATATACAAGTATTATTGCCTATTTAAAATTAAAATGGAAGTAAAAAAATATTGTCTAAAAGTTGATTAAATACAGTATGTATGTTATATAGTGCTGATGTGGGCTAGGGATGGGATTTCATTTAGCTTTTTCACTTTGTACAATTGCAAGAGTACAAACTATTTTTGTGAAGATATGTTTAGTTAATTTAATTGTTTCATATGTTTTTCATAAGGACAGAATCAAAATGAAATCAACACTACAAGTCCATTCAAAAAATGTACATAAACACAAGACAAAATGTGCCACAAATCAAAAAGCACAATACATTTTCAACAAGCCTCTATTTACATCCATTATGTTGTTATTAAACATGGAACCTAATACTATAGGTATAACTTCTAATTACACAGTTTGTGTATAACTGAATTAAGAAGGTTATCATTTACATTAAAGATTCTCTTTTTTTAACAGATTTTTTTGTAATTCAGGAAATGTGAGGAATTCTGTTTTGACTGCAAGTAAAAGCTGGTGTTCCTTTTCTTTGCTTTCCATAGTTGTGTACCTGTTTTTACCTGAGATGCAATATAGTTTGTTCTAAGTCACATGTTATACAGTCATGTAAGATGGTATGACAGCTTACACATCAGATCCACAGTCAGAAACTCACAACAGAGATTTTCTTCTGCTACATGTTTGTGATTGGAAATTTTAGACAAGGTGCAAGTTTCAGCATATGTTCCTGTAGTTTTATATCACAGGCAATGGCTGAGTCACAATGTGGAATTTGTAGAGAACAGGTATGTTGGAAAATATGATAGCAAAGACTTCCATTTTAGGAAAAATGAATGAGGTGCCTAAGTAGTTCATTTTATTTTATGGTGGGGTCTAAATTTTGTAAGGTGCATTTGTATGAACAGAATTATAATGATTAATTTGGATTGTAGTTGTAAGGAAACAACTTCCACAGCACTGAATTACATTTGTTTGGTTTTCAGTTTTGCATAATTAGCTGAGATTTATTATGGTTGTAGCATATCTCATAAAATGATATTTTGTTTCATTAGCTTTTTTGCAGAAACATCATGGGATTTTCTGATTATGAGCCTCATAAAACAAAGTTTGCCATTAATATCAGCATACTATCTGGTACTGATATGTAATTTTTACCAATATGCTTAGTGAAAATTTCACCAGTATGTTTCTTTGGGTCCAGCATGATACCTTGTAAGTCATGTATCTTATGATGTTGAGATCCTTTTTGTGCTGATCAGAATAGTTTTGAGTTTTGACTTACTAGGAAGTCACAGTAGAGGAGCTTATTTGCAACACTAAACAGTACACTCTGCATTATTGATCCTTATTTGCTCTTATGGGCAGCTGGACTGTGATAATACCCTTACTACACAGTCAGTATGGTAAGCATTTTATTTATAGTTGAATTATGGCACTGAATATGGAATTTCCTATTGTGGAGCTCTGTTTATAAAAGCAGCCATTGAACCTTAACCTGATCCAATTCAACTCATCTTCACTACCACTGTAATGTTCTCTGACCATTGCTTATATCTCCTTTATGGCTCATCACCTGAGGCTTTCAAACTAATTTTGACTGCATTTATTCTTTTTTGAGTGCATAATGCAGATAATTTCTTCCTCACCTTAATAATATTACAAAAGGTTTGTATTGTAGGTTTCTAATTTGACACTATGCAAATTTCAGGGTGCTGCTGTAAAAATATGCCCTCTGTTTCTTCTGTTTCTGTTGAGATATAAAATGAGTTATAGTCATTTTCGTTTTGGAAGTTAATTTGACTCCTGCACATGTGTCAAGGATTCACTGTTTGAAGAGAGCTAGTCAGTCTTGTACTTTCCACAAAATCAATTCCTTGAGCAAATTTTACGTTCACTGAGTATGAAATGAAAGTGATACCACAGCTGACTTCTGAATTACTATGATGTCTGCTGCATTAACATTGCACAGTGAAACCCAACTTATCCAGAACTAGTGATTTTATAGTGTGAACACCACACTTATCAAGAATGAAAAAGTTTACATGAAGTGGAAAATATGTTTACCTAATGTGTTTTCTGTGATTTTGCTTCTGTTGGACATAAATGCATTTCTTGTTGACAAGTTGGTCCAAGGTAAGCCAATTTTTTAGCATTACTGTTAGTTTACCTTCATAACCAAGAGGATTGATTTTTGCGTGTGTCTGTACATGCATCTAGGGTTTTTAATTTTAAAACTCGCCCTGAAGTCGAATGGATCTGCAGTTGGTAGCAGTTTCATCACGTGCATGTTTTCAGCACCAGGGGGAACATCGGTAGTTACTATTTGGCGGTATTTGCGCTGGTGGTCGTTCGAAAGTGGAGAATTTTGTGTTGAGATGTGAGATTTGGAGTTGGTTAAAATTCGTTGTGTATCTAAATGGTGAATTATCTGATCTACATAAACGTCTGTGTACGTGTATTTGGACTTGCAGTTTATTGGTATAGCGTTACATGTGGGAATTAGAATAAGGGTAAGAAGTTGTGTCGTAGATAAAAGTGTGACATGTTAGAACGTTGCTTGAAATAACACATTAGATTTGATGTGTCCATATCGGTGAAATTTTAAATTGTTCTGGATTATGACACATGTGAACTTGTAGATGATTCCTATCGGCTGAAGCGACAGTTCTTGCAAAACGTATGTTGCTAATCAAAGCTCAAAGACCATGACTGAAATAACCGAACTCCGAAAAATCAAGTCATTAAATAACATTTTAGTTGTATAATCACCAGTAGAACTTGTTTTCAATTTTATGTTTCAGTTACGTAGAAATTGTGTTTACACTGCTCTGTATTTCACTTGGTATGACGGGCACAATTGAATGTAGAAAATGCGATGACCAGGTACTTTTGTCAGAATTTATATTATTTTTATGCTTATTAGACACAAAAAGCCAAACAAAAAAATGGAATGACCTACCCTTACTTGGAGGTGAAATAGCTTAGTCAGTATTGTGAATAGACTTGGCTAGATGACCAGAGTTTATTTCTTGGTTTGCGCCTTCGTACATTTTCATGGTATGGAACTTAATTAGGCACAGGGACAACTTTATTTTTTACCTAACCTTATTATGGATTTCTTGGAGAAATATAAAAATATGCCTGAATATTAGAAAAAGGATTTGTTTTGGCTAATACAACTACTGACAACTGTTGGTACATAACAGGGCTGTGTCAAGACATGTGAGACAAAGAGATGTGTTAATTTTTCGCTGTGTGTTAGACTGATTAAGAAGCTGTTGCAGCAGATAGTTGCTTTTGCATTTAGCATGTAGGGCAGTGATCATCTAAAAAAGAATGTCATATTGAAGCAGAATATAACTTTGGTCTGAGTTAGTAAACGGTTGTTTTGTCTGCAGTCTTAAAGAAGAAATGTAACTACATGTAAACAGGAAATTTGACTTTGTGTGAGTGGTTCTGTTAGAAGTAAAACACCTTACAATGTTGAGATGGACAGTTCAACTTTTAATTGTTGTCTTGTTGTAATAGTTAATGTAATGCCTATACTGGCACTACAAATCCTGAAACTGATTGAATTTGTGACTTATTAAACATTTTCAGTGTGCATAGTATACTGTATATTTAATTAAATTGAAGAAATAATAATTTCTGACTTTGAATTGTCTGTAGAGTCACCTGGTTATATTGTCTTTGTTTAGGTATGGTTTAATTTATTGTATTTCATGTGTTTTTCAATCATTGTGATAGGGATAGATTTTGTAGATTGAACTTGTATATTTAGGAAGAGACTCAGTGACAATGAGTACAGTTTTGCTGACATACCTGAAAATGGTAGATTCACTCTCATTTGTGTAATGAGATGTGAGTTTTATTACATGTAGAAAGGCACACAATCTGATCAAGTCCAATGATTTGTCATAAGAACATTTAAAATGACATACTCTCTCTGTATTTCAGAGAACACAGAAGACAAAGTCTCCTTATGTACTCTAGAAATTTTGATTAACAAGCCTGTCTGGTTTTGTTGTGGAGCATCCTGGGATGAGTATTTTTCAGGGTTCTGAGGATTTGCAGCTGGATGAAAGTTTTCAGAATCTGGAGGAAGATGAAGCCGAAGAAGACCAAAAACGCAGGAATAAGGAAGTAAGGATTTAACTAAATATCATGGTTAAATGAAGATTTTAGGTTCTCATCGTGGCAAGTATGAAAATTACTGTCGTCTGGAATGTTGCACTATGTAATCTGGAAGAAGCTTACCAACATTTCAAAGGTCTTGCTGCCCCCTTCATGATAAAGATCAACATCCCAGTCCATAGTCAAATGCTTTGCCCTCTTAATTTGTATCTGAGAGATCATGGATTAGATTCTTGGTCTGGTGACTGGCTATTCCAATGTTTTTTCATAATTTCTTTTAGTACCCCTCTGAGAAATTATAAGATAGTTTCTTAAAGCAGTTCATAGTAATTTTTTTCCACACTTTAATCTGTAAAACTGGAAAATTCGATTAATAAACTATGGAACAAAGATACATGAGTTTATTTTGTAAATGTTTTCTTTCATAGTCAGTGCTTGGCTTTTTGGTAGGTAAGTAGTTTGAATATTTTGTCATCTCAATGTGTGGTGTGATGTATGTGTGCTACATAGATACATTTTGAATGTATAGTCCTTTTGAGTTCTTACACATGTTACAGGATTATAAGGTTTATTGGGACGTTTAAGCTAGGTTTCAAAAATGACAGCAGGTAAATGACAGTTTGTCATGCCAAGAGAGACAGAACTCTAAGGTTTCGAGGTCTTTAAGGTATCAGGCTGTAGCTTTTCTGCAAAAAATCTGACACATTATAATCTTCTGTTTTTGAAAATGGTTGTACAAAATGATCGACTGAAACACTTTTTTGCCGCAGAAAATTGTATTAAGTCATTAAAGCCACAAGAGAAGTGAATAACATGAGTATTGAAGACTGACTGGTTTAATCCTTTAAAGCCCAGTGGTAACTATATGTACCACATACTTTTATAACATTTAGTAACTCTGCATTTTGCCTACAGAGTATATTTATGGGTTTCATAAGATTCTCAAATTAAACAGCAGCCAACTGATCTTTATAATGGAGACATGTTATGTTTTCTTTGAGGTAAGAAGTGAATTTTTAAATATTTGGTTGAGTTTCAGCTTCAAAGAGTTGATAGTCTTCAGAGCCACATAACTATAAGTCACAGGTCATCTTTTTTAAACCATAAAACAGTCATCAATATTAAGTGAAACTTATTTTATTGACTATGTCAGTATAATTAGGAGGTTCCACATTTGAAACTAAGCCAACATACTTTCTGTTCTTATTGCACCTTTAGTGGTTTTCATCAGTAACTTGAGGAAATTACTTTGGAGTAGTCACATTCTGTTCCTGCCACACCTTACATGTTGGTAATTCACTGCTATTTCCTATTGCATGCATTTGATGAAAGTAGAAAGGTGAAGTTCTGCGTAAGTATAGCATTGTGTAGGCAAAGTTCCACACATTCTTAGCCTTGACACTAGACGGAATCGAATGACCAGTTTGATGTTGCGATTGCTGTATCTCTGGGGAAATAATCTCTGGTACAAATTGGATAGAAGGGTGGCGGTCCTGAAGTCGGCCTGCACATGGTGGAAACAAATTTCTTCTGCCATGAATCAGGTCTGCTTGTACAGTCCATATCCAATGACATTATCTTGTTTAATATGCAGATGCAAAGCATCATTAACCCTTTTTCTTCTGAAAGTTATAGTGTACATACATTTTGTGTTTTCATTGTTAACTTATGAATTTAGTTGTTCAGAATCTGAAAATGGTTAGCTTTAATTGCTGATAGAAGGCAGAGAAAAAGGACTGTTTCCCATCAGTTTAATTTTTAGAATCAAAACCAAGAAAATTTACATTCTAAGCGTTTGCTGTTTGAAATGTAAAAAATTGACAGTGGAACAACAGTTCCGGAGAATCTGACGTAAATACGTCTCTGTATTTAAATTATATTTAAGCAATAAATACAATGAAAGGAAGTTATATATTAGCTTTATTCTAATTATTTCCTTTATACATGCTTTACAATTGAGTAAATAGTTTGATTAAGACATTGCTTATTTAACTTGAATTAGTTACGCTTAACATGTGTCTGTGGTAGCTGAATGTAATGTATTGCAATGTAATTTAGTGTAATGAAATGTGATGTAATAATTCTTATATAAGATAAGTACTTGTGATATTCTAAAACGTTTTTACCAGCACAAAATTATCTAGTCTACGACGCACTTCTTCTACAAGCGATTCACAGCTCAGCTCTTTCTGCAATAATGAAAGCGGATTGTTGACGGCAGTAATGTAACACAACAATGCCGAGTAAACAGGTGACGTTTCTTAGGTAGCATAACAATGCACACAAGCTGACCATTGTTGTCGGTCCATATTTACACATCTTTGTTATGCTTCTTACCGAATGACCCTTCCGTATAGATGTATTTACGTCAAAAATACTAAAATGTAGTATGTTGTCATAAGTGAATTACTGTTTCAGCTGCATGACCTCCTTACAAATGCATTTGATGATCTGATGGATGATGATGATGATATAAGTACCCTAAATAGCACTTGTCGTTCACCTGCTATGATTGAAGGTTAGTGCAATTAAGAAGTGTGCAGCTAATTTGATTGGTTTTAGTTTTAGGGTTTCTTGTCTCATGCATCGGCATTGCACTTATATATTAGTTTTGTTTAAGGAGATACAGGCAGACCTGCCAACATGCAGCACCAGCCTTTACCAAATGATTTAAAGAAAGATATAGGTGGAGAGAGTTCAGACTTTAGGGTTGCCATAGTCAGTCCTCAGGTATCAGATCACTACCAGTATTGCTTCAGAAACAGCCCTTATGAAGACAGCAATCAACAGTACCGGAAAGCAGGTAATAGAGTTTTATTTATTTTTTAATTTTTTATTATTTATTTATTTACTCCCTCATGAAAGGGGAAAAAATGTTCTGGCTAATACCAATGTTTATAGTCTTTACAGTCTTCCTGTTCTTTGCCCACGTTGGCATTGTTAAAGGATTGCATTTCTGAAGCAGGGACATCCATTGTTTAACATTTACACATATTCATATTTACAATGTAATGTTTTTAGTTACAGTGTAAAATCATTTTTTTCTTTCCAGAAATTCCTTGGCAGAAAAATGATGCCAAAAATTAAAAATGATGAGATCAGATTTTCTGAATTTTGTAAGAAAAATATGTGTATGTGTAGTTAGCAGTGTAGATTTGTATTTAGGTGTTACCAGCCTTCAAATCCTTGCATGGTATCCTCACGTAGATTTTTTTTTTTTGTAGTTTTCTGTAGTCCGCCCAGACAAGTACCAGGATCATTCCTTGAAGTATGCCATGTCTGCTTCCTTCCACATCCTTACCAACTCGCTATTTATGGTTGTCTTCCTGTCTCATTCATTTCTGTGCAAACATTTAGAGAGTAATTAAATAACTTTAGATTAATTTATTTGGTCTTTTCTTTATAACCCCAGTAAGTCTGCTTTGTTTGTGTATTATGTTTCCTTTGAGCAAATTTTACAGTGTGAACATATGATGGAGAGCTTGTGTGCTTACACCACTGGTTTTATGGGAAAATTTATTTTTGTTTGTATCAGTCCAGTTTTACTTTGCTTGAAGCTCAGATCTCATTTTTATGAAGAACTGCACATTATACAAAAATAATTTGGTCAGTGACAGATGTAAAACAGCAAGTAGTGCATTTGTAAAATTTGTTTACTGCGTTGGAGTAAAGTTTTCCTGTTGCTGCAGAGTATGGCAGTATGGAGCAGCTAGAGGTACTGTATGAGGTGCGTGTGAGGGAGGTGCAGCGACTCTCTCAGCAGTTGGAAGAGTTGAAAGAACAAGCAGCTCACGAAAAGGACCAGCTGTATCGACGATTTGCTCTTGCCCAGGCTGAGAAGGAGCATGTTACACAGCAGCATTCACAGTCTGCCAAAAATCTCGGCAAGTAACGTTTTGTGTAATCGATTATGTACATGAATGTTGAGAATCTTGCCTGTAAGATATATTTAGTTTAGTTTGATGTCTTTAGTTTATGAGGAGGAACATTGCGAGAGTGAGGAATACCAGACCCCTATTGTACTTTAGAGCCCACCTTAAGCAGTTGTATACCAACTACTACAAATATGTCATTTTAACAATGTTCAGTATTTGACTATTTGCTGCACCTCAGAAACTGATTACACCATAGCTGTCCAAAAATTATGGTGTTGTAGTTAACATTTATGCTTCATATTCAGGAGATCCTAGTAAAGTAAAGCTGTCCCACTATATGCCATGTAGGTGCTTGTGGGGAGAGGCTGTATAGCTCCTACTCATTCTTGACCTCGGCACTAGAAGGGGGTGAGCAGTCAGAATCGTGCCCCATCTGTGCTTTACCCCTGGGAAAAGACCCTGGTACCCATTGGATAGGAGGCTGGATGGGTCCCAGAACTCTTCTGGAAAAATCCTCTGCCCCTGTCGGTGATCGAACCCAGATTGTCCAGTCTGTAGCCAGTCACTATACTCACTGAGCTATGCTGGCTCATATTCAGGAGATCCTGGGTTCAAATATAGGCCCTGAGATTTCTTTTTGTCAATTTCCTCAGTCCTGCTGATACACTTCCTTCAATGCCCTTTTCAGGTTGTTACTCTCTTCCTACCATTTAGCACTGTACAGCATGCACTGTATGTTACTGAAAAAGCATAATTAAGCAATTCAAGAATCATCTGCCTTTACTGAGGTTGGAAGAGGCCAGAAACATCAGGTATTTTGTAATTAGTCACTATGTTTTAGCAGTGTTGTATCTGTGATAATTGTAGTTTTTATCTTAGGGTTCATCTGAAATCTTGTTTTGCAAAAGAGTTCCATTGTAATAACAAAAGAAAGGATAGAAAGGGCAGTTCATTTTACAGACCTATAAATTGCATCAAGGCACAATTTATAACCTTTTCAGTGCTTCTTTATTGAGTTCTGGTGCTGAATTATTTTCATTGATTGTTTTATGTTTGCTGTTTAAGGAATTACTTTTATGTTTAGAGTTACCACCATTGTTGCTAAATCCTAGACCTCACATGCAAGGAATCAGGTAATTAAAATGAATCATGGACACACATTATTCTTTTCTATATACATACTGTTGCCAAATGGGAACTAACAATTCAAGCTATACCTAAAAGACGGCAGAAGCTTATGGCTAAGTATAGAGTAAATGGTACCTACACTATAAGATTTTTACCTACTCATCCCCTGAAAGGGATAACTGCATGCGTAATAAAGGCAACTACAGCGAAGGGATTAAACACCTTGGTTTTATTCTAAGAACATTTTCTGTATGTGTTGAGACAGTTCTATTTTATTGCAGTATTGAGTAAAGAAAAAGTCTTGGAGCTGGAAAAGGAGGTGGACACCCTCAGACTGAACTTGGCTAATGTCCAGCAGTCCAATTTGAAGGTAAATAATGAAGGTGGCAGTGTTACAAGTGGCACATTGTATTTTCTGAGATGTTATTGAAAAACAAAATTCTGTATTGATATCCTTATGGCATGGTAACACCTTTCATGATTGTCATAATTGGTTGGTCATATTTATTTCATTCAACTAATATCACAGAAGAAATTAAATAATATAATGGACAAATGTATCATTTATATGTTTTAAAAGAGCCTATAGTTTAGCAAGGAGTAATGTAATATATACAAGATTTATTGAATTTGGAATACACAGGAAACTGTTTACATTAGTTAGAATGTGTACGTGTAGGCAAATATCTTCCTTTTTAGTATATGTGAAGTACAACTTTAAATAGATGATGAAGTTTGAAGATAAAACATTCAGGAAAAGTTTAGATCCAGTGGAGATTGAATAAGTGTGCAATTTGGGATGTGGCAATGTGAGGAACTTTATGATTTATTATTAGGGTAGTGGAGGTTATGGGCTCGGATTGTAGCTGTGGTAGCGAAGACAAGAAATGCATACAGAATTTTGTAAAACCTCTTAGAAAGTGCCTTTCTCAAAGACCAAGAAGGGTATGAGAGCACAACATTAGGATGAATTTTAGGGAAATGAGTTTGGAAGGTGAGAGGTGTTTAGAACTGAAATGGAGTCGTGTGTGGTGGGATTTTGGTATTAAAAGTGTTCATCAGATTAAATAATTAGGTAAAATACCTGTATTTTTCAAGTTCAAGACACACTTCAGTTTGCTTATCTTATAGGAATTCATGTTGTTGCTTGAGAGAAAAGATAAACTCATATGTGCACCATGCTCCATCATTAATTTCTGTGTTATATGCCGTGTCTCGTGTGTGGCATGTTACAGCTTACAGGAGAACTGGATGCAGGACGAATGTCAGTGAAGGATTTAGAACAAAAAGTGTCTTTGCTGGAGCGTAGCAGTGTAGCTAGCAAGGATACATTACTCCGCGGAATGCAGGAACGATATGAGAAGGAAATTCTTACCTTAAGAAACCAAATAGAATCTATTACAGCAAAGCTTAGTGCTAAGGTATGTGCCAAAGCAACTTACATTGCCTGCTTCCCTACAAATGTTGAAGTCTTTGTAGAGACACAAGCAGGAATTATATAACTTAGTGTTCTGCCACATTTGGGGAGTGTTTGCTGCCATTCGGTTCAGAATCGTATGCCTTCCTGGTGAGATTTCAAGTTCTTATGAAAGTGGCTGTCTTCTAGGTTGTTGCATTGTTAACACCAGTAGAAGGTTACATAAACTTCGGAGGTGCTTGCTGTCCTCATCGTCAGGGCAGTGAGTAAGCATCATGCAAGGAATTGGTTTGACATATGGAAACTTGTTGGAGAAGGTAGAACCTTGCGTCTCCTCTCAAATGTTGGTAAACATCTACCAGACTGCATGATGCATCAGCCCAGAAGACAGTTGCCTTCATTTTTTCTTTGTGTCTTCAATCTAAAAATTCCAAATTTAAAATATACAAAACTGTAACTTTTACTGTTTGTTTTGTATGAGTGTGAAACTTGGTCTTTCATCGCAAGGAAACAACATATAGACTGAGGGTGTGTCAGAACAGGATGCTGAGGTCAATATTTGGACCTAAGACAGAGTGTAGCAGGAGAATAGAAACAATTTCATAAGGAAGAGCTTCATAATTTGTATTCATCAGATATTATTGTGATAAAGTCTAGGAGAATTACATGGACAGTCCATGCATGGAAGAAGTGTATACAAAAATTTTGTGTTGGTGGTGTAAATGTTTTTGGAGTATTTGTACTAGATATTGAGCACAAATTATTGGCTTGTAGTTAATGTTATAAGTACTTGGGGCAATGTTTGTGATCTGTAATTACCAGGAAACTGAAATGGAGAAGTGTTGAAGTACTATAGAATTTTGTTATAAGCTGATTTTGCTTTATCAGTGTTTCAGAAAGAAGTAGAATGCATGGTGATTTAGAAATGTTTTGCAGATGTTTAATGAATTACTTTCCCCCCCCCCTCCCCCCTCCCCAGGACATTGAATGTGAAGGATTACAGCAACGCCTGACTGACTTAAGTCGAACCCATGAAGCTCTCCTAGTAGAGAAGACAGACACCATTAACCAGTTGATGGCAAACTTAGAAGAGAGCCAACGGCAATGTCAGAAATTGATCGCGAACATCGATAATGGAAAAACTGCTGCAGAGAAAGAGCAGCTAGAGAAAGATGTACAGAAACTTCAGGTGACGTGTAATTATGTTATCAAGAGAATGAATGTATGATTTTTATGCAGTGCGATACAAAAGTAAGTTTTCTTTTAAAAAAAATTGTTACTGAAACCGTGGTTAATCAGTCCTGTGCAGTTTTCAACATAACCATTGCCTTCCTGTTCATATTTGTCATCTGAGTACCAAACTTTGAAAACATTTTAGGAACTATTTTATCGTCTAAGTTTTGTCCTGAGTGCAGTTCTTAATATGTTGATATTATGTCCCTTAAAGTGAATCTTTCATGCTTATGAACAGCTGTAAGTCCAGAGAGTAGACCAGGTGTGAGAGTAGTTTACCTCTTCTTCACTGAAATTGTTTGTTAGTAAAATACATATGAAAATGTCTCTCTCAAAAACAGTGCTGCTTCACGTGAACTTGACAATGCAACTGATTGTTATGATGAGTTGAGACTTGCACTTGTGACAGTAATAACAAGGAGCTAAAATGTTACATATCAAATCTAAAAGTTCTTGATGATGGTGATGAGTAATTAGAATAAGAATTGTCTTGGATATTATCCATCATCTAGTAAATAAAATATAGAACGTAAAAAACGACATTTCGGAGATGGGGCTCTATCTCCGTCTTCAGGTTCCTACTCAGTTGGGCCCACTAGATAGAGCTGGTCCGGAGATAGGGATTAGCTCTATCTAGTGGGCCCAACTGAGTAGGAACCTGAAGACGGAGATAGAGCCCCATCTCCGAAACTTAGTTTTTTACGTTCTGTATTTTATTTACTAGATGATGGATAATATCCAAGACAATTCTTATTCTAATAAAATGTTACAGAATTTCCACAACATTATTTTTCATAACTCAATGGTAGTAGCATATTTTGGCTTCATATCTGACTGTTTGTTACAGACAGAGTTGAATACTGTGCGTTCAGATCTACAACACTATGAAGTATTGGCACAGTCTGGACTGCTGGGGGCAGAAGATTCTGACTCATTCAGAATGGACTCTAAGCCACAACCTTCCAATGATGAGAATATCAGATTGCGGGATCAACTGCAGCGCTGCCTAGCTGGTGAGAAATGGAACTTTAGTGCCTAGCATTAAGAACAAACTTTTTCTCTTATGGCAATCTTCTTCTTCTATGGCTCTCCGGTCCGTGTTCGGTCCATGGCCTCCTCAATTCTCCTCTTCCATTCGATCCTCTGTTAGGTCCTTCTGTCTGAGGCTTTGATCAAGGTTTCAAAACATCTTCCTTTATGTTGCAAGATAGTGCAGAGTGCACATGTACAGTGCAGACCATAGGTTACACACATGTCCAATACAAAACCACAGTTTTTTCTATGTCTCATTTATCCTACCTTTAACATCAGGTGATAGATTGCTCATACATGAAGAAATTTAAATAAGTAATTTGTTCATACAGTTTATTGCAAATGCATTCATGTTATACAGAACTGGATTAAGGGCAGAGAAAATGGTGTAGTTATTTCAAGGTCCCAAATGCCAGTACCAAATTAACATTAGTGGCATCACACACTTTATACTGCTTAATAGTAGAAGAAGACTGGAAAGGTGTACTCTTTGCAGTACACTGGCATTCAAAAGGTGTTCTTCATGTCACATCACATAGGTCTTTGTAACATTAATGTGATCAGAGGCCACTGTTAGGCAATAATGTGTTGAAACAGTGACATTAGACCATTTTTATACTAATGATGTAACCGGGATGGTGGAAGCACAGGTGTCGAGACCCAGTGTTCAAGGCGGAGTAGAGGAGTGATAATCTGACAAAGACATTAAATTATGAGACTTTACTGCTCTTTAGGTATGATATTTTGTGAGGTTTGTTAAGACCACATTCTATGCATTTTAGGTTTGTGCATGAAACGTGAGCAAATCATGAAACTGAAGGCCCAGCTTCTGGATCGAGATAAGGTGATTAAAAAAATGAGAGAACAAGAGGCAGCTTACCTTGTGCAGACAGACAATTTCAAGGTTAGTTGTTTTGGGGGGAAACTGTCAAAATAAATTATTTGCTTCACAGTATTATTAGATTCTGGCAATGAAAATATTGTTCTGAAAATAAGAACGTGTGTTGTGTTCTTCAGAAAGATGCAGAAGGCCTGCTGGAGCAGTTGCATAAATATCGAACTGCAGAGGGCAGCTCCAAGGACATGTTAAAGCTTCAGTCTCAAGTTGCTGAGTTACAGGTCTGTATCTAGCACTGCAGGATTTGAGGCTTTCATAGTGATGTGAGTTCAGATAGTGGTGTTCTGAGTTGTGTTGTGTAGTCTTCTGGTTTTACACGATTTTGGAGGAACATGCTGCATCCATGTTTGGTTTACAAGTGAGGAAGGTTAGGAACTTCATGGATTACATAGGATTAGGTTTGGGATTAGCCCAGAGCAGGTCATGGAAGCCTTTTATTCACACCCTGAAAGAACAGAAGATGGTTCTATCTATATTTTCTCTTTATCTGATGTTCATTTCTGAGGATCCTGAAAATGGCTGACTTTTCTGTTTCTCTTGACCCAACTGTCCACTGTTTTAGCCTTGAAAAGGGCACTTCCCGATTCCTTGCTTGTATTAGACCTGGCCCGTCCACTTCCCACGGCTCTGACTGGCTGATCTTCAATGTCCGAGTCTTGTCTTTTACCTACAATAGAATGGTTATGAATTGTTGTTGTTACCTATCAACTTTCCTTACTCTTCTCACATTAACCCAAAAGAAGGAAACAGGATGTTCCCCCAAAATGATATGTAACTAGAAGACAACACAAAGCAGCAACCTAAGGCCAGTATCTAAAGTTAACACTTGCTACTTTCCATATATCTTTCTCTTAAAATTGTTTATTTATTTATGTCAAATGTGAGGTACACAGAATTTCAACTTTGACCCATAACACATCTTGCTTCCCAGTAGCAATCTTAAAATTATTACCAATGAGATTTCACTTTGTGTTTTTGCAGTCTGAACTCACTGTTGTAAAGGCAGATAGATATCGTTTGGAAGGGGAGCTGGTAATTTTGCGACAAGCGAGCATGGGAGAGAAATTGAGAGCCATTGATCAGCACAGTAAGGAGTACATAGAGTGGCATGACAAAGCCATTGCAAGAGTCAGGCAAGAGGGAAATGAGCAGATAGAAATGCTAAACGCAGACTTCAGGTAACTAAGCATTTTCACATTTGTAATAGAGTACGTGCCCAAATTTAATGGCTTGCTGATTGTAATGTACAACCAAGTTTTGAAGGGTTGCATTTTAATGTAACACATGAACTATACAAAATTTGTTTGCGTGTTCCTGAATACAGTAAGGAAGTATTTACCTGGTATAAAACATTTTTTAAATATTAATGGATTTTCAGGTTGTTCATTTGAAAGTGCATGACTGTAATATGTAATCAAATTTTTGGAATGTGTTTGTGTTTACTTCCTTATTCCACGAAACACATGGGAATTTTTGAAACTGATACCCTAGTGGTCTTAGAATTTTTTTTTCAAATTCTATATGACTTGAAGTTTTCATTGAGACTGAACTTGATGAAAACATCTTGGGCAACACGCCATGCCAGTTCTAGACAGAGACCCATTATTTTGGAGGCCTTCTCTGCCTCCATCATCAGGGGAATGATACGGAAGATAAGATAATATTAAATTGAGTGTTAGGGAAATAAGTTATAAGGGAAGGCAGTAGTTTGTATTGTCAAGTAGTAGGCTTTGGTTACAGCAGTATTTAAGTTCAGGTTCTACTATCAGAGAGTAAGTAGAATTGGAAAGAATGCAAGATTGGGAAGTGGTTGGAATCTGTTTTATGGTAGTCACAAGCCATGAGAGACCTCTGGACAGCCATTGGTTTACCTTGGTTTTGAACCAGGCACAGTGGGTTTTTCCTTATTGTCTTATGTTCCAGTATTCAACTGAGGGAGGCTCAGAAGGAATGTGACGAAGTGAAGCAACTTTATATTGAAATGTGTAATACAAAGGAGTGTGAGCAGAAGGCAAAGAAAGAGCTTGCCAACCTTCTGGACCTACAAACTGAACAGTTAAAGAAGACACAGGTTGAACTAGAGACTGAGCGAAAAAAGGTATTTGTTCTAATGGAAATGTTGAACATTCTAGATCTTTACCTTACCCCATGGTACAGGATTTGCCTTGAGATGTTGATACTTGGCTGATCAAGAAATTTCCTGCATTTATAAATCCACAAAACTCAAGTTTAATCCGGTCATTACTTTCACACCCTGTTTCTCTAAGATCCATCTTAATGTTGTCTTCCCAGCTGTGCATAGAACAGAAATATCAAATGTTGTGCTTTGTACAGCTAGCAGAGCTGTCAGCAGTCCAAGAATCTGTAGCTGAGGTGGAGAATTTAAAGCAGGCTTTGAATACTGAAAAGGAAAAGGTGCGATCTCTAGAGGTGGATTTGGAAGCAGCCCGGGAACGGGACCATCGTTACACAGCAACTGTTACAGAGGAAATTGAAAGGGGTGAGTATGATTGCAAAATAGTAATTTGTAAATGAACCGTAAACACTTTGTTGAGTTTCTATATCCATTTACTTTTAGAGTAAAATCTCACTTATCTCTTGGTTTTCTAGGTTTTATTTAGTGGAAACTGAAAATTATTAAAAAAATGTATCTAGAAGAATCTTTTACTTTAAACAAGTTAAGAAATACATACATACTGTAACAATTCTGGCATGCTGGGTCTGTTATTGCTTGGTTGGTCTCTGAAACTGATGTAAATATTGTATACTTAATAAAAATAAAACAAAGCCAAACATCTATATTATTCTGCTTGCTGTAACCATGGTGGGGAAAACATGGAAATTTTAGTACTGAAAACACAGTCACAAGACTTGGTTATTTCTCAAAAAATTTGAAACTGGCATTTGTGTTTCATTTTACAGCAAAGATGGAGGCTTTGCAGGAGCTGCAGCTTAGCTCTAAGGTGAGTATGTGGGAGAACTTGTGACCCGTAATGACAGCTTGCTTTGCATTTGAAAATCTTGCAAATAAATACTATCAGTAACATAAGAATTTTGGACTGTATGTCTGTCATTCATAATTGCATAAGAAATTAACTTAATATAATTGTTTCTGAAAACTGTGTATTCATATTTACTTTCTTAGCTTGCCTTATTTTATAGGAAAATACAGTTTTGTGTCATGTCCATATCTGTCACTCCAGTAACGTTTGAACTGACAGATTTTCATGAAACATGGTAACATCATAACACTAGAGGCCACTAATATGCAGACATGATTCTGTTTCTGTGGAAAAGTACTGCTAGGATACTATACAGTGTACAAGAAACAGTTGATATATCTGTGATCTGATACAAGTTATTTGTATTTAATATACAAATAATTTGTCTTTTGTCAGCAGACACACCCAGCTATAGTAGATAGAGCATGCTCTCCAGTGAGGGAGTTCAAGGCGGAAGGAGAGGAGCTATCAAGAGCTGTGGCAACACTGGAAGCCCAGCATCACAGACAATTAGAACAGGTATGAAAAAATTGTAGTAAAGGATATGCTACGGCTAATGCCTCCAGTTATGGTATTTCTGACGTTCCTGACTTCTGCCCATCTTGGCAGTGTTGAAGGAGTCTGTTTCTGAGGCACATAATTATGCATCCTGTGATGACAGGTAGACAGGTGGATCAGTGGATGATGATAGCTTTCATAGCGAACATTGGGGTTCTGGTATACCTCATATTCACAATTTAATCTGTCAGAGGTAAGTGAAGGGAAAAATTCACACTGATGCTAGGTGGTCTCAAACCCAAAGGCAAACATCTTAGCCTTAGGTCAACAATAAATTACAGAAAGGAATGAGCAAATAAAAAAATTCACTAAAATCTTATTTAGCTGTTTGAAGCCAAGAGAAAACCAAAGTTCATTCGTACTGTGATTGGTGTGAAGTAGGTATATATGTATGAGAGAGAAACTGTTAGCAGCGTAACTTTCTTGTGTGAAGGGCAGTCAGAAATTATTCTGTATAGTTTCTGTGGATACAGACACCATACTGTGAGATGTTTTTTCTGCTTTTTTGCCCATAGATATTTGTGCTGTTCCTTCAGCCATAAATTAACTTCTGTTCCTATATTTGTAATTTGTTTTGTTATACAGTGATATTTTGTCATCTGTTTCTAGCACTGAATATACGTTTGAAAAGTTAGACATTTAAAACTGTAATTGGGGGGGGGGGCACCACCACAATGGTTTTAAGAACAGAACAGACTTAATGTGGAAAGGAAATAGAAAAAAATCCCATAGTATGGTAAGTGTCTTAATCATTGTAGTGACCATGCAGAAATATAATTTACAATTATAAATCATATGGAGCTGTATTTTATTCATCAAATTAGTATGTGTGTGCTTATTCTAAACTTTTTTTATTGCCTTTTATATGTGGGTATAAAACTTAGTCTTTTAGGTTGAGGGAAGACTACAGATGAAAGGTTTATGAAAACAGTTTTCAGGGAAATATTTGTGACTAAGTGTAATGAAATAACAATGTCCTAATCCAATACAGGATTAAAATTACTGACATTCAAATTTGATGTGGAAACTACTGTAATGTATAACTGGTAACTTAATATCTCCCATTCAAAGTAAGTGAAATTGAAATTATGTTTACCATTTTTATTTTTGCGAAGTTTGGAATCTTCAAAATTATGTATACCCTGCTGGTAGGTTAAGCAAGAGAGCGTACGGTGCCTGGCCAATGAACTCGCTACATGCGAGGCAAGGCATCAACAGCAGCTGGAACAAGCTGAAGAGCAATATTCACACAACCTGGCAACGTTTCGGGGCCTCATCGATAACAAGACCCAGGAGGTGAGTGTTGAGACAGTACAGTCTTATTTCTGTCACTAATACCCTGCTTGTAGAGGAAATATCTATTTAAAATTTATCTGTATTTCTCCAATTGAAACTTATGCACCTTCCAAATACAGTTTTGTAACATTACCATTTAATCAGCTTATTGGCTTTTAAACTTGGCTGAAGCTTCTCTTCCCCCTCCCCTTTTTTTTTATTTATTTATTTTTTCTTCTGCTTCTTGGAAGAAGAATGTAAATCATTTTGATAAATTTTCAAAATCATTTTGTCATTCTGTGGCAGTAGTACAAAAACAAAGGTTATGGGTCAAGAGATTAATAACTGACACACCTTATGGCATAAATCACATTCTTGACATGAATAGCCATTAGCATTGAAAGGCTGTTGAACAAATTTCTACCATCTTTGTTAGCCATTGCACCTTGTTTCAGGTGGAGGTGTTAAAGCAAGCCATGCTTGCGGAGCGAGACAAGCTGAGAGCTAAACATGAGAGTGGCCATGTGATGGAAGAACTGACAGCTCGCACAAAGGAAGTTGAGCAACTTAAGGACCAACTGGATTCATATGATAAAGAATGGCAGGCAAGACTGAGTGCTGAGACTAGCAAGTGGCAGGCCAGGCTTGCAGAACACCAGCAAGATGTGGAGAGTGAACGAGACAGAATGGCAGAAGCAATTGCCGGTATGTTATTGGGAATGAGAGGTCAGACAGGTTTCATTTTATGGGCTGGTATAATCAGATACCATTGCAGCAAATTCCAGTATGTAGTGCGAAATTGTTGCTTATAATGGATTGGTATTAAAATGTCTTGTCCTGTTCTTGTGAAATAACATTTAAAATAACAGTTGTTTTTGAAAACATCATTGTTGGCTTATAGCAATGACGTCAGATCACATCTCAACGGTGACCTTAGATACCATTGATGCCTTCGTTATTCCTTTTGAGTAAGAGTGAACTAGGTGCACAGTGTATTTGAACTGTGATTATCAACAAATAAACTTGTTGCTAATGTTACTACATATCGTGTGGGATGAAGAAGCCCCTGTAGAATTTGTATGTACTCCAAAGAGTACATCTTTCCACTCAAATACCAATTATTATTGAAATTCATTTGGTAGATTAGAAAATGGAACATTTGAAAAGACAGACATAACCTTCCCTGCATAAATTCACTCCACACATTTTGTGATATAATGGGGAAAATTCATTCAAATTTTTAAAGTTACTTCTGTTTCAAGCTGATACTATAGTAATTTATTGCCTAGTGTATTAGTGTTGAAAACATGCAACAGAAATGGTCTTGCAGGTTGGGCAGAGGAGTTGCAGACAGTACGAAAACAACATCAAGAGTTGGAGATAAAATCACTAGAACTGCAGAATAAGTACCAAGCAGCGAAGAAGACTGCTCGTCGTTACAAGTTATGGGCAGATGGGAAAGAACGGCACATACAACAAGAATGGCAACGTATCACAGTTGGTTTTCAGAATGCTTTTGAGGTACTGCATGCTAAAGCCGAGGCAGCACTTACGTCTACAGAGAGTGATAATTGTGATGTTAAACGGCTGGAAAAGCAAATACAAGAATTGCAAGATAAACTGGTCATTGCACACCCAACTGAAAGTTCATGACCCCCAGTGAGATCACAAAGGATGTTACGCAGAGTGAGACTAATGTTTTTATTAAATAAAAATATATGCCAGTTGACTGAAATCTGTTGTAAAAAAAGTATGCTTGTTATGATTTAAAATGTTTTTGTCAAAAAACAATTCACAATAGAATGTATAAGTAAAAATTATTTTTATAGTTTTTAGTGTAAAACCTGTCCTTGTTTTGCCTCTACTAATATATTAACCTATGGTTATATAGTGGAAAAACAAAAGCAACTCATTCTTCAATAATGGACAGTGTTTGTTTTTCACAACCCTTGAAGAGAATTCTAACTTTATGAAGGTACAAAGTACCAGGAGGCACTGAAGCTGCTTTTGAAATTTCTGAAACACGTTCTGGATACTGATTCTTCAGACCTGCCAAAACTTATTCATGTCTTCTTGTGATAATTGTAAATGTATTATTTTATCTGAGAAGCTCTCAACTGATTGGTTTGTATAAGGCTAGGAGGAGGATCTGGCCAGGGCAATTGACCGAGTAGAGCCATGGGGAGTGGAACCATGTCTTGGGCAGTGGGAAATTGCTGTTTAACATGGCACTATAGAAGAATACTACTATGAGAAAGAGAAATAGAACCCCTGGTAGAGGAACAAAAATAATGGTAGGCATGAGAGGATGTTTTGTTCTTGGAGTGAATTTTCTTTTGTTCTTTCAAAATGTGAATAAGAGGCTTCCATGACTTGCTCAGAGAGAATCTGTTCTTTCTGTTGATGTTAGGACGGATTTCAATCTTCACTTCCCAGGTGATCCTGCCTGAGCATCTGGATTTCATGTCCAGGATACAGGTGTGATTTAGCAAGATAAGATAGCCAATATTGGTCCTGCATTCTGCTGTGGCTGACTTATGTGTAGTAAAGTCAGATGTGATTGCACTTCTTGACTGTGGTTAGAACAGAGCGGCCTGTTTTTTCCAATGTAAATTTCCCGTACTCGGGGAATATTCTTCTTCTTTGGCTCTCTGGTCCGTATTCGGTCCATGGCCTCCTCAATTCTCCTCTTCCATTCGGTCCTCTGTTAGGTCCGTCTATCCGAGGCTTTGGTTGAGGTTTCGAAACATCTTCCTTTTTACGGTACAAGGTTGTTAGCCTTGCGACCAACCCCCAACCTGGAGGACCAGTGTACCTGCCTTAGTCTGACCTCTCCCCCTCGACCAGTCTGGCTAGGGAGGCCCTACCAGTAGCTATGCTACTGCCAGCATAGCTCTTGGGGTCACTGAGGTACTTAAGCCCCACCACCACGACAAGGTGCAGGTACCATTAAGTGGGGACTCTGGGAATATACCCCTCTGAAATGTTAGTATGCTGCCAGAAGACTACCATCTATATTTCTCAAATAGGAAAACTGTATGGATGGTGCATTTAACCATCACATAGGGAAAAGATCAGTCTACCTATTTATTTAACTCTGGTACTAGAACCCAAAAATTTGGTGCAGCTAAAATCAAAGGCTGCTGCCAATTGATATAATCCTGAGCCATTTCCATTCACTTCCCAGCCTTACATTCTATTTACCTAAGATGTATCTTAATGATATCTCATCTCCTCTTCTGTCTTGCAAATGTTAATTTTTAAAGAGGTTTTCCCACCATAATTTTGTCTGCTTTGTCTTTGCTACTTCTTCATGTGCTCCTAAATAACTCGCATCATCCCTCTCAGGTCCAGGTATTTTCCTGAGCACTTTGTTCCCTGTCACTTGTAATTTGTGTTCTCTCAGAATAAGAGACTGTTTCACACCTGTTTGGGATGAATATCTTTATCTTATTTCTTATAATCTTAATAAAATATTTCTTCAGAGTCATCACAAGTAATAACTGTACCTAGATGGCTTGTGCAGTTTTTGTTAAAATCAAACAAAAATAATAGATATTTTAGATGAAGACCTTCATGCATTTGTGTGCATGAAAGTGACTGCATGGAGAATCGTCAGGCTGCCTTGGTATCGTTGTTACCTTGGAAATGCTTAGCCACTCGGACAATTCTGATGTCACTCGCTTCTTACACAAAAGTAAAATTCTGACAAACATACCAGACTTGTTATGGTACATGTATATTTCCTGATTTGTTTTATTATATGTGACCTATTATGTACAGTCTTAAAATTTTGTATGGTGATGAAGCTTTCAAAGTGTGTGACTTAAATGTTTTTTAATAACGTGGAGATTGTGTGCGATATTTACAGTGTAATAAAAATTATTAATTTTAATTTGTGAAATTTGTATATATGCATGTTATAAATGTAAATAAATACTCAATGTTCTTAGTATTAAAATTTACTGTACCAAATTTTTCAGAATTACAGAATTCAAGAAGTCATGCTTTTAATATTTCTGTATGTAAGAACTCTAAATTTATATTCCCAATTACAATTTTAATAACAATTCTGATGGCTCTGTATGAGAAATTGGCCTTCAAAATGGGTGAACATACTGCATTGAGTCTGTAGCTAATTATATGACTGGTTTATCTTTATGTGGGTCAGTTTATGTATATTCAGACTGACCATGAGAACCTATTTATAACAGATTTCACAAATGCATGATTTTTCTTCTGTGTGAGTGTGAATGTTGTGGTTTTTCTTGAGGTGACTAGTTTGTGAGAATACTTTCCCACATGTCACATGCCTGTGGCTTTTCCCCTGTATGGATGAAGTATTAAATGTCTTCATGTTATTGGCTATTGTAATGCCCCAAACATTTCCATTTCAATGAACTGTTCTGTTTTCTTCTTTCAGGCGTTTTTCTACAACTGTATGAGGTAGTGGTTTCTGTTGTTAATTAGTGAGATTTGCTTACATTTGATTAATTTTGTCTTGTGGTGGGTTCATATGTCCATCTGAAAGTTGCTTCACAGTTTTATTTTCGTTTGTAAACTACTCCAATTTTGACTGTTAACCACTCCCTGTGGTAATGTGTCTGAAGTCCCATCTCTTTAGAACAAAATGGAATATATTTATTATTGCAACTTTAAAAAATCAGCTGATTGGTTCAACATTGTTGCACATTAATTTATTTATGATGGGAACAGTTTGCTGTACCTGATCAAACAATTGCTTTACTTCTAGGCACCACGTTTAAGTGCCATTAGAATGCTCTGGCATTGGCCACTTCACATGGCTGATATTGATTGTATTTTATGTTGAAGAGGTTTGATTGATTGATGGATTACTGTCTTGTTTTAAGGGAATTATGTAGGTGAAGTGCAGGTAGTGTTACTAAAATACATCATAATGAATGGATTCAGGTAATTTTATAAATTGGATGCCAGCACTATAACCTCAAATAGTTAATTCTGTAACTCGGCTGGTATGATGTCTCTCTTCTCTGGTTTGTGGTAATAGTCTGATTGATGCTGCAGGATGTAATTGTTTGAAAGACAAGGTTGAAGATATTGCTAGATTATTTTATTCACTTGCAAAGGAAATTTTAACAGTACAACACTAATGTGTTATTCAGTTATTAGAAGAATTTTAAAAAGTAACTGATGAAATTATCAGGCTAATAAACCAGACCAAAGTAATTAGGCAAGTGATATATGCTCACAACTTCCGGGTGAGTGAATTTGTCGGCGATGAATGTCAAGAATCGCCTAATGTAATTGAGGCTTTAATATTTTAGTGCAGCATGGTTTTACCTGTTCACATTATATCATTTTCCTTATAGGCTTTTTGTTTGCAGTTAAAATTATTTCGATTCGTTGCTAGGGAACGCTTGGTGTCCCAGTTTCAAGTATAGATCGTAGTAGTCTTATGGTGCATAAAGCTTATTTTACGTCATTAGCCACAATGTTTGCAATACTTTAAAACAGGCCACTACCATTTCATACCATTTACTTCCTAACTCTCCCAATTTTTAGTGATGCTGTATCATCTGGTTTCCTTGGTTTAAGTTCGGCACTTCTCGCTCCTTGAAAAGTTACAAACGAGTTTGAAATAATTGACCAATAGGCTTCTAAATAAAATTCTAACAAACTTAAGGTCGGGGAGTTCGTGTTAGCCCGGCTGACACTGAAAAAGTAACGACTCCAGCCAGCGAGCCCCATGTTCGCCACTTAGTCCTGGCTTAACGAGGTTCTGGTTTCTGCGCACGCGCATTTACACTACAATTACGGGCTGGTACCTTCCAAGTATGAAAAATTCTTAACAGTTTGTTTAATTTCGAACAAAATGCTTAACCCCGCTTAAATGACATCTGGCACGCATTAAATTTCAGAATTTCCGTTTTGCCCGTCCTCAACCTGAGTTATTGGCTCCCTGATTTATTTGTTTGTTTGTTTATGTTCCTACTAGATGGCTGGATCTCCGAACCTAATCGGAATGAGAATCTCGATTATCCGAAGAGCTGACTGGCGTTTCGCAGCTGTTGATTTGTAGTCTTGTGTTTTGTGCTTGTGACGCCGTTCCAGCGAAGGAATGTTTCGAATAAGTTGACATTTTTAGAGAGAGTGGAAGTGTTATATTTATTTAATTGGAAGACATTTTGCCGAATCCAGCATGTGAAGAACAGGTAAGTTACAACTAATTCGGTGGGACATGAGCTGTGATTTTGTGTTGTGCAGTTTCAGCTTGTCTTTAGTTTTATACTAAGTGCTTTATGCGTAGCCATTAGACTTTTTGTCCTCTGTGAAATGGAAGAAGAGACTCTGACAAGAAATGACTGAAAAACTACCTGAAATGTGGATTATATTTAGATTAAAGCAGACTACAGTTTCGAATGTGTACTACGTGTGTGTTAGCCAAAGTTTGTCAACACACCGAAATTTTGTGGCCGCTTTCGAAAGTATGGAATTTCCTAATTTATACCCTTCACAAAATGTTATTAGGGTGATAAAATCGAGAACACCGGGATGAGCAGGGAATGTATCATATACGGAAAACGATCTGATATGCACAACAGTTTAATCGGAAAACCTAGATGGGTTAGAGCAGAGGTTCCCAAAGTGTGGGGCTCGGCGTGTTGTTTGTATGAAAAACTTTTTAACGAAATATGGAGAAACATTTTTAACATCCTTCGCTTGGTTGAGGCAGTTTAGCAGTGGCAGCCATCAAAACAAAGTATCGTTCTACGATGAACCTGGAAAACGACCTTGGAGTGGCCATTTCAAAACTCCACCCTCTGTATGATAAGTTATGTTCACAGAAGTAACCACGTCCATCCCACTAATCCAGGTATGAAGCGTATATTTTATTACAGTTTTTTAAATTAAATGCATTGAATAATATATACTAAATTATAAAAAATGTACACTCATAGCTAAATTTTATGTCAAATCTGTTTGCTTGCACTTGTTCTGGAAGGGGGACGTGAAACTTATGAATTGTTTTAAGGAGGGCGCAAGGTATAAAACTTTGGGAACCCCTGGATTAGAGGCAATTTGGGAGACCTAGTCGTAGATGGCAGGATAATGTTAGGATGGTTTAAAAGATATAGAGCGTGGACCGGATTTAACCGTCTGAGGATAGTGTTAAGTGATAGGGCTCTTGTGAACACTAATGAACTTACAGGTACCATAAAGGTATGACATTTCCTGACCACATGAGCGAAAGTTAGCTTTTCCGCTCCAATAAATTGTATCATTTCTGAAACATTTTATCTGGACATAAAACATAAGAGTGTTGATGGCTTTGATGTATTGTGAACGTTAGGAATCTGATTTGTCTCTCAGGTAATTAAGACACAAACGGTACTGGTGTATGCCTCTTGGTGGTATGGGACTGAATGGTTTAATAGGGCACTTGCAGCATTTATTTTGTTTTGTCTTTGGAATAAATACATAACCTCTTTAGAACAGAATGAGTGCACTCTTCTAATAGAGTACTTGTCGTTTCATATAGAGCAAAAACAGCTTGTAATGTAATCCTCGTACTTAAATATAAATATAAAGATACATTTAGTTCTATTATAATCATGTTTCTTAAATTCTGTGAGACTCTCTGCAACAATATGTTTAAAAAAAACACTGGCATTAGTGATAATGATAGATATTTCATTGTGAGCATCACATTCATATAAATTGTAAGCACTTTACTCACTACCAGCTTTGCCTTTGTATGAAATATGAAAATTCTTTGTAATGTTTGTCTCGTCATTGTACAATAGAAACATACTCTTATTAAGCAGTATTTTAACTTCTTGTGCTGTTTTCTGATAACCCATAATATGATACGAACTCTTTCGTACCATGCACAGATGCGACTAAACACAAGTGCAATCCATACATACAGTACAATTATAACTGCTATTATGAGTTTTATCATTGAATACAACACATTGAAACACTTTGAAATTAGTCTGGTGCACTCGTAGAATGCGAAAACGCGTTTTACAAAAATGTACATAATCTCAGTGTAGAATGTGTTAACCCACTCCAAAAAGAGACAAATTCTGAGATAAAACGCTGACACTCTCTGGAACATTAGTCTCGTCCTGTTATAAAAGGTATACGTGTTTGTTAACGTCGTCCGTATTCTCACAGCAAATTTACGAAGTCTCATTATCCTAGTGTTGTGAATTCAGTCCATAAATATACTTGACACGAAATACAATACGATGTCATCCGTGCGTGGAGTCTGTACGGACTCTTGATGAAGGAACTTCTTGGTACATGAATGAAACTTTATCGCGTTACTATTGCTCTGTGTCCTATAACTGTGGATCTTAATTCTGTTTTAAAAATAAGCCCCAAGGAAACATTACGTACGTTAGTAGTATTTGCTGGCTGTAGTTGGCATAACCCAGCTTTTTATATGGGTTGCGCTACCAGACGGAATGAAGTCACATATCTTGTCGGTTAAGCAGATTTAAATCTTGAGGCAGATGTCAGTAATTCATGAAGCGTTGAGACACAAGCTAGAAGTTCTCGAGGAAATAAGTTGCGAAATATTTATAATAATACGACGGAAGCATTTTACACTCGTATTAACTTAAATGTGGCTGTTCGTTTAATTCCTTGCAGATCCCTTAACTCTAAATAAGAACTTAATTGAAAACAGGTCTGTATCACAACATTTAATGCTCTTCCACTAGAATATCCAGTCACTGTCCGCTTTCAAAATGCTCCTGACTATAATGATCAGCTGGTTGCTTAACAGAATCGATTGTTTCAGTTGAGTTAATTATGAACCATTGAATTCAATGACATGTATTCATTATTTCAGCTAATACGAATTGTAAATTGTATTCCTGACAATACAGCGAGTCTTGGGCCACGTTTACAGACCTGCTTCTCATTACCATATGTTGAAGCTCTTTGTTTGTTAAGGGGTGTGTACAATTAACTTTTGCTGGAGAATAAAGTACCTCTGGGGCCGTATAGCATGGACTTCTGAAGTTAAGTATTTTTATTGGACTCAAAGAGATATACTTGCTTCTATTTCTGAGAGCCCCTATCATAAAGGCATATAGGGTGCATGGCGGTAAGCTGCACGCATTTTAAACTTCGACACTAGATAGGAGTGATCAGTTTCACGCTTCGGTCGCTTGACCCATGGTACCTATTGGGCGGGGCGGGACCCAGCTGGTCTGGGCGAAGAGAAACATCAGTGTCCCTGACCAGGTGTTCTTCCCTGTCATCGAAGGTCACGACAGAGTTCTTGTAGCTGTGGAGAGTCCTGCAAAACATGCTGAAAATCAGTTTTAAAACAGGCATCGGACCGTTCATATGTATAAATACACATACAAAGACGTTCCCCGCGTATAAAATTTCTGCATTGCTGGAAACTCTGGCTTGAACCTTTACTGTGTTACGCGCATGAGATGACGCGCTTGAAAATGCCAGCCTCGTTTGCTAAGAATGCCTTTGATACTTGAGACGTTCAGTGAAAAGAAGGATCTCCAACTGTGTCTTGCTGTCCAACATGTTTGTGAATTACTAAAATATGCAAACAAAAGAACTCAGCTGGATTATCCCACTTGGAAAGGAATTATATTTCTTTGGCTATTTTACGAAGACTGGCTGAAAGAATTAAAAAGAAAATTGTAAAATGGTTCTGGCGATATTTACATTGTCAGGAACTCCATCAGCAGCACAGCTCCGGAAAACAGCAAGCCACATGCTAGCATTAGCAGCGCGGCGTAGCAGTCGACCAGGCCCACACTCACAAACATGGAGCCTCGAGTCACGCACTTCGGCTTCGTCTGGTAAAAGCGCGAATTTTCCCGGTGCTGCAGCCCGAACTCTTTCACCTTCCGGTATCTGTAAGGAACTCATATTATCTGTACACCCAGAAGAATGGAAGACATTTTGATTCGGTTTGAATCTCCTTAACAGCATATACCTGAAGACGGAAATGTCTGATTTGACTCCACTCTTCCCGAAGGGTTAGAAAATTGTTGCGTATCAAATAGGCGCAAAGAACGCGAGATAATTTTATCTCGATCAAAGTCAAAGCCAGTGGCGTTGGAGTTATCCTTGTAGATGAGGAGGTAAATATGGAGGATTTCCTGCTTGGTGTGCGACTGGGGATTTCTCGTCGTCATGTTTGTACCTAGTAATGCATTTAGGTGGAAACGTAGTTTACGTTATTGTTGTTCGATTTTAATTAAAATTATAAAGTTTTGAGAGATTTTTAGTAAACCTACCCAGCATGAAATTTAATGAAAATTCGTTTAGTAATTGTCGAGTAATTACAGATTGGAGGAGGCAAACCTTATAAACACATTTGATATATTTTAATTGCGAAAATGCCAAAAAGAATTGAATGTAATAAATGTGTCATTTTACCTGATTGCAAAAAGAAGAGAAGGAAAGAAAAAATAAATGAAATTACTTCATTAATTGTGTAACAGTTCGTTGCAGAGCGCTTCGAGAATATCGTGATTTTGAGGTTGAATTAGTGGAGAGAAAGGATGCGTGTATTTACCGTCTGAGAGAGGAATTGAGTTTTTTAAATTTTAACACAAAAATTACACATGAATGAACCAGGTTCAGATTTTATGTTGATTGCTCTTTGTACCACTAAACCGGAAATCTTTCTTTATTTATGAAGATGTAACTCACGCCACTGAGAGAATTTCCGTCAAGGGCGTTGTTTTGCTGACGCCGACCCATGGCTCCACAATCTCAATGAGAAAGTTGATTGTCTGCAGACCGCACTTCTCTTCGTCTAGGAATGTGTCGGAGATCAACTCGTACCCAGGGCCCAACTCCATGTGGAAGGCAAACAGTCCCTTCCGCAGTTTCTCCACGCCTTCTTCCAGACTCATGAAGCGGTCAGCGCCCACTTTATTGTAAATCGCACGACGAATGGGGTCTGAGGCAGCCTGAAGTTAAAGTGTCGCGAGCCCATGCATAAGCTAGATGGTTCAACAGGATGGAATCCAATGGCGGATTCTTGTAGATATGATAATGAATGAACCTTTATGTTTCACTATTGCGAGTAATTAATTGATCAGTAGCTCAGGTAACGTACTGGAAAGTAGTGTCTGTTGTAGACCACGTCTTCCACCCCGAGGGTGAGGCCACTATTGAGCAGGTCCTTCAGAGTTCGGATGGCGTCCGTGGACGATTGAAGGAGGGCCACAATGCAGGCAGAGTAGGCCGTGTACAGGAAGATGACAGTTGTGAAAAGAACGAACAGAACTATCCTGCCGGGCATGCTCTCAGCCTCCACCGTTGTGCCTGCGAGGATAAGATAAAGACGGGTCTTCAAGAAATTGTTGGTTAACAGACCTTGGAACAGCTGAGCGAGTATCGTCTTGCGCCACTGATTTATATTCGGACGAGCAGTCGGACGCTGTACCAAGGTTTTATGATAAAAGTCTAATAGGCCACGAGGGTCTATTCGAAACTTATTTTAATTGGCATAGTCACGGCTCATAAAAGTAATTTTATGTTGTTTCAGGGACCTGTACCTTGTTGACAGACGGCGCCCAGGGACAGGAGTGTAATATCGCTCCCAGTCACTTCGTCTCTTCGCTTCTCGCACTTTAACGCGAAGTATAGGCTTGCACCTGCGACAGCGATGAGGGCAGCGCTGGCCAACCAGACGGAACGACTGAACGGGAGAGTGAAGATGTTCGTCACGAAGGAGAGCGGTGGTTGGCGGAAGATGAAGGCGTTCCTGAAATGTCACATGGTAAGATCTGTGAAGCTTTTGATTATATTGAAACCTCTGTCATAGTATTCGGTTTATTCAGGAGAATTATACCATTAGATACCAATCAGCTCACCTCGTAACTGAAGTCGAAGCAATGTATCGCACGAAGGGAATCCGCTCTTTCGTGACGAACATGCCTGTAGCCCCGATGTCGGCCTCCGACCTCTGAAGGTAACCGGTCAGACCGCTCCAGTTCCCGGCGCTGTCCGGGTAGCCCCAGGTGTCAACTACGGTCGTCTCCACACTGCAAAGTGAATGGAATAGATTGTGATGACGGAGACTGAGTGACATTCGGGTCTAAACACTTGCTGCTTCCGTGGTTTTATATGTCCTACTGCGACGCCGAATTGGTCGCAAACAAGAGTTTCCTACCCTCAGTCACAAAGTCGCGGTTAAATATTACAAAGTCTTCTGATGACCCTTCGCCACAACTCTAGTTCTTCACTTCTGATGGAAGTTTATTAATATTGAAAAGAGGTTGCATTTATCCCACCATCGCATGCAACACCAGCGTTTTTTATTCTACTCGTAACAAGCAGAACCATAAATATAGAAACGATACATTTTCTTCTTTCCTAAAAACCATTCTGAATCTGTATTTTAAGCTTCAGATTGCTTGAAGTGTCATGACATTTCCCCATGTTTAATATCTTTTATCAGTTCTTGTGATCCATATGCAAATATACCTGTCTCTTCTCAAGGATTGTTCTCGCAAAAATTTAGATGTAATGTGATTTGCGATTGTGCGTCCATCATTTGTCTTCATGTTCGGTTAAGCAAATTACAGACTTGTTGATAGTACAGCTACACGATGTGTGAGCATGCAATTTCGAAAAAAATATTTCAAATTAGTTTAATGTGTAATAGTGTTAATTACATTGTATAACACGTACCAATTTTTTTTCTTGTGCCATGAACAGTTTTGATAAAATTAGCTCAAAGTTAAAATCTGCAGAGAACCCAGTAATACCACGTGTCGATGTTTTTTTTTTAATTTTGACGCTGCGTGATCTTCTAGGTGGTTACCAACGTTTCAGAAGTTAGTTTTGCCTCCCTCTTCATGATCGATATCGCAACGTAGCCACTGTGAGAACCTGAAATCTCAAACCCAGTACCTTGCATTAAGAACATCCACGATGTGATGGAACAGGACGTCGTTCACCTTTGTAATTGTGTCGATGTGTTTGTTTATGGTGTCGGACAGGTGGTTCAGGGTGTCGTTGTTGGTGACCTGCAAGCATTGACAAGTGTCTGCGGTCACTCGGTCGCGTCAGCAGAAACTCTCAAGTGATTTATTGTAACGGACTTCGTCTTAGATTACTCATTTTTTCATTTGCTTTTAACCCTGGAATTCATAGCGTGGTTTCAGGTTTACTTTTGATTTTGTTAGCCATGGAGTACTTCGGAATATGTTCACGCGGAACATATTGTCCGTGAATCGGAAGAAAAATGCAGAACTGTAAAATGTTTTCATTACCCGCCTTTTCCATTCGAAATTGGGGAATTTATTGATCTGTAACATTTGGCACAAGAATCGATCGGTCTGAGACAAAAAAGCTACAACGAGGTTTCGAGAAAGTAATCAGTATTTTCAAAATTTGATAGCTGACAATGAAAAACGGTCATAATCAGGGTTTCATATCCTTAACACTTCGTAACATCTAAATGACCATACCACCATGACGGCCTTGAGGACCGATTTGTGGATATTCGTCCTCCGAACTGACAGTATATGCGACGAGGTAGGCTCAACGCCCGCGGCATCGAGCTGCCAGGTACCCGTCTCGCCCCAGACCAAACCCTCGCGAGTTCCTCGTTTGTAGACTTCCATCAGCCTGAACCTGTTCTCAGAGACTCGGCGCCCGACCACGACATCACTGTCCAGCAGCAAATTCAGACCCAGCAACATATCTGTGTCTGAAAGCTTGGAGCCCTCTAGAAGCAGCCATCGGAACTGAGTACGAAACAGATCCAGTGAATTTGCCTGTGGAATACAAAATATATCACGCGGTGGTCAGATTGTTGTTGCACATTTTACCGAAAATATCTACCAGAAGTTGAATATTTTCAAAAAATTTTCGACATAGAAACTTGGATCTCTTTTTGTATGGTATTGTTTCCAAAATATTGTAAGGAACTCTACCTCTTTAAGTATAGCGCTCGTTCCCTGGCAGGCCATGTCCACAACGAATGTCACGTGTCTGTTCCTCGATGTTGCTCGGAGCTGAGTCACAGAATCTTGGACAGTCGTTTGAGTCGAGAGTAAAACGTTCTTCTCTGACAGATAGCGCACAAATCCATGGACATTTTCTGCAGTGGACACACCAAAACAACGTTCTGCAGATCTTTAAAATTGCCTACAACTAATACGTGATCTATCAGTGTCGTTCACAACTCTTTATTCTAATGCAGAATGATCCGAAATTAAGGTAACAGAACTGGAGGGAAATTAACTTTATTTGAGAGCATGGGACTCATAGTGGCTCGTCAAGGTCTGTATATCGTGCAGATTGCAGCCCAGAACTACGACTACTTTTTAACAACCCAGTAACGTTAACATTTACAAACGTAGATTAAGATCAAGTTCTGTTACTTCTTAATTTTGACCACTCTATATTATTAATGTCAGGTATCAGGCGTGACTATCACGAAAACAGATGAATTGGTTCATAAATCTAGCGGGGACCTATAAGCAGGCTGGCACGTAGGACTCCTTAAGGCAAAAGCATGTCTTTCCTCTTAAGATACAATATATTTTCACTTGCATAGGTGCATGTAGCCTAAATCATTTGCCAGACCTGATCGCCATAGTCGCCGGACTTCGCATCAAGTGACTTCTGAGTGTTTATGGTTCGTTTGTCTATCATCTGTTTTTTTTTTCCTTCCATTTGATAAATTTTGTGACTGGCGATTTTCTCTTTTGTTGATTATTGGTATCTTTCCTGTCCATACTTTGAACTCAAAGTGCAGAATTAACCCTTTTCTGTGTTCCTTATGCGAATGTATCTGCGGTTAATTGATACGTCTCTTGAACCATAACCAAGATCCATGTCTCATCACCGGAATGGAGGACAAACTCGCAATAAGTCGATCCACAAATATAACTAATAAATCGTTAACAAATGTAACAAAGTTCAGACGTTTGGCAACAGTAGTAACAAATCAGAATTGCGTTAACGAAGAAATTATGAGAAGATTAAATTCGGAGAATGCTCGCTACCAATGACTTTATGATATTCTGTTTCATGGACTCCTGTCTAAATGTAATTTTACCCGTTGTCTCATATGAGATATTTCGTCCTAAAGGAAAGAACGGATATTGAGGATATTTAAGAAAAAAGGTGTGAGGAAAATATTCGAGCCTCAGGGACAAGACGTAAGAGGAAAATGGAGAAAAATACGGAATGAGAAACTTCATAATTTGTACTCTTTC